ACAAATTAATTAATTGTCTGTATCAAAAACAGAACAAATTTAATTATTGTAATTGGATTAGGATCTCATTATATATAAACTTGTCTTTAGAAACATAATCGAACAGAAGTTGTGTTAATTGCAATGACACTCTTGTTTGTGTGGATTTCAATTCAAATGTTTGTGCTAAAATTTGAATAATTTTATTTGTGTTAATTTTCCATTCCTTGAACATGTTAAAGATAACCATCATGAAGAGAAATCATCAAGAAGAGGAATCCTTATTTACCTTATGAGTTAGGGATATAGCTAAGGGTTGGAATGATAAATATTGAGTAGTTGATAACTTTAGTCTTTTTATTATTATCTGTAGTGAAAATATGTTAATTATCATCTGTAGAAGGCCTATAAATATGGCTTCTATCTCAGTCTTTGTATTTGGTCATTCACAATGTAGCCATTCAATCTATCTCTCATTTTTTTTTTTTTTATTGTTCTTCAAATACTTATTTTTTTCTTGGTATCAGAGCAGGTTCCGCCCTGCTTCTGTGCTATGCTTCCGCTTATTTTTTCTTTCAAGAAATAAACCATTAGTCTTCTATTCGCATCTATGTTCTATGTCCTTCGATATTCCCAAACAATCAAGATTACTGATTCCTCGTCAAAATTACTCCCTATCACCACTATGACCACTACCAGAAATCATTACCCAACCTCATTCCATCTCTAGGGTCTTTCCTCTTATATTCACTCAAAGCCAGTATCTATGTTCTATGTCCTTCGATATCCCAAACAATCAAGATTACTGATTCCTCGTCAAAATTACTCCCTATCACCACTATGACCACTACCAGAAATCATTACCCAGCCTCATTCCATCTCTAGGGTCTTTCCTCTTATATTCACTCAAAGCCAGTCTCAGGCAACATAAACAACCAACTTACCCTCAATCACCAGCACTTCTTGTCAAATACAAGTCTCATGTCGATCACAAAACTTATGTGGTTGACAAAAGAAAAAAAACATGTAGATGACAAAGAGAAAATATCTCTATTTACAAAAATCCACATCATGACAAACGTTCGATCTCCTCTCAGAAGAAGAGGTTGGACTTGTCATGTAACAATCTAACACAACAGTGAGAATCGATACATCTCGTTTCTCAACAATTTCTAACAATAAAAAATTTGAGCACTCCACTCAAAAAAACGCATTACATCACTTGCATTTTTACCATTCATATATCAGGAACAGCAGTCCAACGCGTGGTCAGAATCACCCAAGAAACAAACTGAGTCTCTAACCTCGACTCAGTTTGAGAGAGGATGTTAAAGATAATCATCATGAAGAGGAGATCATCAAGAAGAGAATCCTTGTTTACCTTATGAGTTAGGGATATAGCTAAGGGTTGGAATGATAAATATTGAGTAGTTGATAACTTTAGTCTTTTTATTATTATATGTAGTGAAAATATGTTAATTATCATCTGTAGAAGGCCTATAAATATGGCTTCTATCTCAGTCTTTATATTCGGTCATTCACAATGTAGCCATTCAATCCATCTCTCATTTATTTTTTTATTGTTTTTCAAATACTTATTTTCTTCTATACACATATTTTTGGTTCAAACTTACTAGATTCAAATCTTATTTCCAAAATTATTTTACTTAATTTCAAGTAGCTCCACTGGACCGAAACATATTCAAATTACATTGCAAATTTAAAACAAAAATGAAAATAAAAAATGTGTTGTATTCTAATCCTAATTTTTATTATTATTATTTCAATTATAAAATATATGTCGTGAACAGCAATGATTAATTCTCGTTACTGAATTAAGCCCTACAACAGCAAAATTAACCGCTGGGCCAAACTATTAAAGGTGAGAAAATGGGGCTTCAAATTTTCTAGCCAAAATTTTCTCCAATTATCTAAGTGGACCCAAATCATCATTGGGCCGTCCAAAACACCACAAATTCTTTCCTTCGGAATCGAACATTTCTTTGGCAACACGAATCGACTACGATATTCTAGGAGCAAACCTCAGGTTTTTATTGTGTTAAACCCCCAAACCTTTACACTCCACACAGCGTCGCTCACAAGATTCAATTTCAATCGCAATCCAAATCCTTTGGTTCGTACGAATTTCCTTTATCGCTCTCCGTTTCACACATTCTCTCGTTTAATTTCCTTTTTGTTTTTTCCTATCTGGGTTCGAAGATCGATGGCTGCTTTGATTACGAACGGTATTATTTTGCCGGGTTGTAATTTTTGGGAGCTTTTTCTCTATTTTTTTTTTTATTTTCTGAAATAATTTGTTGATTCTTGAAATTTCCTTGCTGGGTTCTGGGTATTCGCTTTATAAATTACTTATTTTCTTGTCTTATTTGCGGTGTTCGTTCTCTATGTATGAATTTCATTAGAAACGCTGATGATTTAGGATGTCCGTAATTTGATATTTGTTTTTTTTTTTTTTGTAATTTTAGTTTTGGGTTTTCGGTAATCCGTTATGTACTTTCGGTAGTTTGTTTTCTTTTGAAATCGTTGGTTTTGGCTTCCAAGCTTTGGGTGTAAATGGTATAGATGATTTTGTGGAATTTGGTCGTAGTTTAGGAACTCTGATGAATCTGTCAATATTCTTGTTAATGTATGACATATTTATGCGAGTGCCTGATGGGTTCTTAGTTTGGGACGGTCATCAGTAAATTCTGAACCCTGGGTTTTTGAATAATCTCGTGTATTACTTTGCTTGAATTGATTGTGTTGCCTACTCAGTATCTAGAGTTTAATGTTGTGCAACTGTTTTCAGCAGAAAGGATCTAGTTGACTGATAGACTAAAGTTTTGAATTCCCCTTGCAGGAATACTTAAGTAATAACTTCAAAATGGCAACCAGGATGGCATTCAGAAATGTTCTTGTTCGCAGGTTCTCTAGCGGTGGTAGAGTTCTTAGCGAGGAGGAGAAAGCTGCAGAAAATGTCTACATCAAGGTAACCAGCTACTCTTTGTTACAAAATCTTTTGTTGTTGTGTGCATGTTTCTAAACAGTTCATTTATGGTCTCAGTGAAGGATATTACTGTGGTTGCTTAGTTGTGCTCCTTAGAATTGATGCAACTTATTTCATGCTATACCAGCTGAGTACCTTTTCAAAATATTCTTGTTACATTCAACTGATAGCGTACTTGTATTCTATTTTGTGCTGGGTAGCTCTAAAATATGTATTTTCTTTTATGCTTGACAATCCATTCATATTTGTTTTAAGTTTTTTACTTTATTACGTGCTATCCAACAGTTACTTCTTTTATCAATTTTCCTCTGGGATTATCTGTCTGGATACCAGTTGTTTGGTTCAGATATTTGTCATATCTTTTACGATTTCGCTACTTCTGTAGCTGACCTGGGGCCTTGGAACCATATCTTAAGTAGTGATCGTCTTGCCTATGAAATTAACTAATGAATACTGATTTGTCCATGTATTTATGTTCTTAGTACGATTTTCTTCTGTAACGTAAACTGTAGATTGTATATTGTGCATATGATTATTTGGTGAATGGCTGTACTGGCAACATGAAGTGTATCAGTCCCTTCCAATTTATGTTTATGGGGTTATTCGGATTTGTTTACCTTTTCCTTTTCTTTTTTTTTTCTTTTCTTTTCTTAATCTGCTGCTATAGCATAAGTAAGCCTAAGTTGCTTTTCTCAATATGGAACGCTGTTATGGCTGGCCTAAGCTTTCCTGTTCGAACTTCGTGGGCATGTCTACCATAGTCGTAATCTTGTTGAAACATGATTAGACTCCAGGGTTTCATGTGAAAGGATCCTACTCTCAAGTCTCACAGTTGAGTCCATGTTTTTCCTCTTTGGCTGTGATGCCCTGCCGTAGAGTATATGCTTTGCTCTTTTGACCCCTCTGCTGATTCCATTGTTTTAAGGTGCGAGTAGTGTCCAGGGCCGTATGCATTAATTTCTCTGTTGGAATTTTGTTTCAGCGAATGGTTGTTGATCATTTATTCAACTTCTGTGTCACATGTGGTTTCGTGTTCTTTTTGCTTCTTTTGGATCAAACTCTCATTACCGAATCTGTTCCTGCAGAAAATTGAGCAGGAGAAGTTGGAGAAACTTGCACGCCAGGTATACAAACAAACTCTTCTCTTGCCCCCGCTTATTAGGTCAAGTTGCATTGAAGAAGCAGAACTACATATCCAAGACTCAGGATTGGAATTTTCCTGAGCCTTCTTTGGTTGAATTCTAGTTCTTGGCAGTAATGCAGTATCATGGTGCATATGATTATTGTTGGGGTTTGCTCTTGTTGCGGTTACTCTTTTTGCTTCATCCAACACTTGTTATGGTTACAATGTTCCACATGAATCGCATATGAAGTCAGTAGACATTTTTCATTATAGGGATATACTTTTGTTCACAAATATGCATCTAGCTATGTGTATCTAGAGATTTGATGTTCAACTTTTGAACAGGGACCCAAAGCAGGAGAGACAGCTGCAAGTTCTGAGAGCGCAAAACCTGTTGCTGATACCAAACCTGCTGCTGAGAAGACTTCAACAGCTGGTGTTTCAACTGACAAGTACAGAAACTATGCTGTTGTAGCTGGAAGTGTTACCATTCTTGGAGCCCTGGGCTGGTACTACATGTCGAAAGACAAGAAAGCAGCAGAAGTTCAAGACTGAGTGCAGATAACCTACCTACAGACTGGATGCTGCAGTTGCTACTATGTGAAATAATATATGAACTGATATGTTAACTGTTTCTGTCATTCCTGTTTCTAGCAAAGGGGTATTGCAACTTATGTGGGGTTGGTTTTTGGAACTGTTAGAGATCAGTTGACATTACATGGGCAAATTTGTAGCTGAAAGGAGTAGGATGATGATGATAAAGTGGAGGGTATGCATGCTATAAATATTCTTTGGGATTAGTTAAGCATTTGTTCGAAAAGTTTACAAGGTTTGTTCGTTTACAGTAGCGCCAGGAGTTCATATGCGGAAACTGAAAGCGGTAAAACGTAATCACGCATCTTTTCTCTTCTTGACCATGGCTACAACGGCGCCAATCACCGCAAGCACAGCTCCTGAAAGGAGAAGGGTTGACTTGAGTTTTTCCTCCTTGCTATCCTTGTTTTCTTTCCGTTCTTCTTTCGAGTCTTCTTCGTTCTGCATGAAAAGTAACCCCAAAAAAAGGACCATAATCATAAAATCCCTAAAATACAACTTCAAAACGTGATAGGGGGAAGCATAATCATTGGGGAGGATTTGTGCTTTTCGTTCATAGAAACAAGATTCAATCACCAAAATTTCTTACTGTTCACTTCATCATTCGGACAAGTAGAATCTAATCTCCTAAGTTCAATTCATCATTCGGCTTTGTTTGTTTCCTTTTTTTTTTTTTGGTTTTTTCATATTATTTTATTATTAATTGTCCCATCGCAACATATTTTTTTACATTTCCAAAACGCATTTTTACATTACCAATACAAAAAACACCTAAAAACACACACTAAAAAAAACGAAACAAACATAAAACTGTCTTCACTGTTTCTTTCTTCACGAATTTGATAAAATTCTTTTTAACTTTTGTTATTTCGACAGACTTTTTTTTTTCCTTGGGACGCAGAGAGAATATTATAAATTAATTAATCACAAGGAAGGAGGATAAATAGATTGCATCACTATACAATGATAGTAGTACTTACGTAATTACAATCTAACTGTAGGTAGCGAAGGAAATATCCAAAGAAGAAAATCTTGAAAGATGATTAAATTACCTTGAATTGCTTAGAAGAGGAAGGAATATCAGAATGAACAACAAAATCAGCGCCCAGTTCTTGCTGTGAGTTTCCAGCTGCAGCAGCTTCTTCACTGAGACTTGCCATAATGTTACACACAGCAACAGCACAAATGAGTGTTCTCAAAAGAGTTCTGTGAATCAACAATGTTGCATGATTAACTGTACTACAAAAACAAGGAAGTGAAACGTTAATGTGTAGGACACGTGGACTGCTCACTACAGGTGTTTTTGGCTGTTCTGGTTCACGTGTCTTCCCTCTGCTGCTCCAAATTCCTCTGAGACGTACATTTGTTTCTGTGAATATATGAGAATGAGATAATTTTGCTTTTTTCTTTTCTCAGAAGTATTGGAACTATGTGAATCAATGGTGCGAGGATGATGGACTAGTAATAGTGTAATACGCATCTTTGCCATCTTCAATCTTCGTCTTTTCCTTCCATCTCATAAAAATAATTCATGTTATTAAACAAAATATTTTTTTTTTTGGAGAAATAAAAAATATTGTTATGATCATCAATGATCATTTCATTTGCTCAGTTGATTTGTTATGATTTATAGTTATTCCAAAAATATTGTCATGTAAATTATATATAACAGATCAGGCAATAATTTTCTAACACAAGAAACAAAAGGTTATCACATTCTTTTTATAATCTTTATAATGTTTGTATAACCATTAATCATTGTTACTCTAATATGTGTTACTAGATTAGAATATTTTTAAAATACTCGAAATTCACAACAAGTTGAGAGAGAATATTGTTACTCTAATTGTTGAACCATTATGTCACGGTTGTATATTGAAAATCCTCTCCCCCAAAGGAGTAATGGAAAATCCGCGGTTTCTAAGAGAGGTCTCTTTTTTTCTTCATCTTCTTTTTTTTTTTTTTTTTAAAGTTTCTTCATTTATTAAAATTAAGAAGAGCTTACATAATTTAGGCACGAGGCTAGAGAGGCATTAGCCATTTTGTGAACATTTTGTACGATGAATCTACTCACTTTTCTAAAGTTACAAATAAGAATCATTTGGGAAAGTGTCTTGACGTCTTTGAAAAGGCCACGAATATGGTAGGGAATCATTCCTTCTTTTTTCAGGGCATCAGTTATAATTTTACTGTTGGTCTGCACTTAACATGAAGTTATTTCTTTATTGATGATTGTTTGCAAGCCCATTAGACACGCCTTCGCTTCAGCCATGATCGGAGAAGATGAGTAGAAGGTTTGATATTCGTAGGCTACATCCCGTATTTGTTATGATTTCCCAAGTTGCAACTCTTTTCTTCTGTGAATCTTGAAAAGCTCCATCAACTCTAACTATATAGTCATATTAGAATTGCGCCTCTGATTGTGTATCACCTATATCCTGTAAGTGATGTTATTCATTTTGTAGCAGAGATCTCTTTTCCGATTTTTTATAACAATTCTCCACACAATTGACAAAAGAGCGACACTCTTTTTCTGCCCGCCGTTGAGTCCCTGGGGGTATAGGGATTTACCATTCTATATTAGGCTGTTTCTATCAAAGCCGAATTGACCACATTATATAAAAAGATTTTCAAATCACCTTATTGTCAGGAGCTTGAATAACCAACTTGTACAACCATATAAAGAGAGACCTCTCAAACAGACAAATATGTATTCTTTTTTTTCTTTTTTCTTTTCTTTTTTTTTGATGTATACAAACCTTTTCATAATTTTTTATTAGAAAATTATCTATCGTACTCTTTTACATTTTTCGATACTTTCTTTATATCCAATAAAAAAAAGACACACAAATACTAAAAAGGCGATTTAAACATAGTAGCCGTGTCAGATCATGTCTAGGTCAGCATTAGATATTACATATGTGACCGTCAACGATACCAAACATGTGCAGACAAACCTTTTCTAATGGTGCGAGGCATCCTAGAAAGCCGCAGAAATTCTCCCACATCTACGTTATGAATAAGATCAACCACCTTCTGATCGCGTCCTACACAGTACACACTCGCGAAATCTTCACCATCTTTCGCATTGGAGGCAACCCAGCATATCACCTTTTTGGCTGTTGGGATCCTTCTTCCCTAGCCCAGTGTTCCTCGAGCCCAATACGTAAGTCCACATGAGGTTCCACTCTAAAACCAATTGGTAATAGAGGGAGTAACCCACTAGACTTATACTGAGCTTAGAACTCTCCCGTCACCGATGTGGGATTGGGTTTGCACACCCAACAAACCTTTCCTCAAACACAAGACCACATTTGGGCCTCCTCTTCAACGACATTCCAACTTGTACCGCCGCTATCACCAGCGGAACACGCCGCCTGACCCACCATTGTCAGGAAGAATTTCAACACAAGGCCCACAACTGGGCACCGGCTCCACTCCTCGAGCCCACGAGCCGTTGCAAGTCAAAGTGGGAGAACACTCCACGTTATCCGCACATCCACTGAACTAGAACCGTGGATCTAATAACAGTTGTTGGGATCCTTCTTCCCTAGCCCAGTACTCCTCGAGCCCAATATGTAAGCCCAAATGAGGTTCCACTCTAAAACCAATTGGTAATAGAGGGAGTAATCCACTAGACTTATATACTGAGTTTAGAACTCTCCCGTCATCGATGTGGGATTGGGTTTGCACACCCAACACTGGCGCACTTTGCAACTTTATCAACAGACCCAGCAGACCAAGTGGAATACTTTTCGTATTGAGACGAGTCGTTCAATAGGTCTAGAAAACTCATAGGAGAAAAACCTCCAGTTTCTTTCTCGAATGAATCCACCTCGGCAAGTCCATATAAGCATATCCTCGCCGAAATCCAGATCCGCTGACCAATATTTCTCCTTTCGTTATTGCCCCCATACACGGTACAAGGCGGGAATGTCTCTTGCGACGTCCCACTCCGCGATCAGTCCCACTTCACCGCGACAAGATAGAGTGTCGAACATCAACTGTAATGCCTCTTCAATTAGAATTTTTCTCTCTTTGGTGCTTTTAAGTGCTTGGCTCTTCTCTTGCATATATACCAGCAACTTCCTGCAGTCCTCAACTTTTCCTCTAGTAACAATGGCAATCATGCCATTACTAAGTTCAATAAGATTATGCTCTAAAGTGGATCTTGGTCGTGAATGATTAACAACTACCACAACCCCGTCTCAGACAGCAATAGCTAAAACTGGAAGTCCCCTGTCTTCCAAAATGCAGGGCTGATCCAAGGAGAATGGATGAGCGGTAAGGTTAGGCACAATGGATTTGTAATTCAAGACAATCCTACCCTTTCGAACTTGAAGACTGCAATCAGGATGTAGAATCTCACGAGCTCGATTCGATGGATAATGAACCTCCTCACAATCGATCAGATGGTACTCGTTTCCATTAAAGATCAAGCGAGACATGGTCTTTTTTTGAGGTGGGCCAAAGCGACCGCTAGAATCCATGGCATCGCGTATAGTCGTATACAACAGATCGGAGGACACGGGCCGCCGTCAGTCAGAGCATCACCAGGATCGTGGTTTTTACACATCCATCGAACAGCCGGCGCTTGATTGAAACGATTGGTTCTCGCCTTTTTGCGGCTGGATCCGGATATGATATCCATGACAAACTCCCGGGAAACCAAAAGGAATAGAGGCTCCAGTACTTAAATCAATAATAATAAGAGGATAAGAAAGGAGAAGAGAGAGCTGTATTAATAATGTGTCATAAAAGGAAAGGTACCACTTTCTCATATATAGAGAGGTGGTATTACTTTGTTTCTGTAAACCTGATAAGGATAGGTTTAGGTTTTCATCTAAGTAAAGTTTTTCCTTAGTTTTCAGGTTTAATTTTTTGTTTTTATTTTTGTTTTTTGGTGTTTTCCTGTTTCCATAGATGTTTAGGATTGGTCATGAACTTCAGTTTGAATATCAACTAGACCCACCTGAAAGTAAAGCTTCTTTCGTTTCCAGTTTCACATGGTTCTGTTTATGTTGGAGGTCTATTCATTGATTTATAGTTAGTATCATCGTTTCGTTTTACTATTTTAATTGATCTAGTTAGTTATTCTGTCAGTTCTGTTTTAATAGTCCACCCGTTGGATGATCCTGTTGAAAGGATTTGTTGAAAAACAGGACACTATTCTTTGTGGTTAAATTTAACCACACGTCCACACCCAAAGTAAGTTTACCATCATCAACATTTTCTTATATTTCGTTCTCAGTTGATTTTGCTCCCTTTTTTTTTTCCTCTTCATCAAGTTGATTGTTTGTGATTTGGATATCTAGTTAAATTGTCATATTACCACTTATCCATTGTTATAGTTGGAGGCTTTCAGGATGGGCAATTGCTGAGATTCTTGCCGTTTGTTCGTTTGTGCTTGATATTGATACCGAGGACACATGTAATATGAGTTCTTAGCACAATGTAGTAGTTCTTGATAGAGCTTCTTCAGAAGTATTTGCACTTTTTTAGTTATTTATCTTGTTGAGTTGAGATAAGGCACATACAGAGGTCTTCCTTAAACTAAATTCACTTTATAGGCTGTGCAGAGTTGAGATAATGCAGCATGATTAGCCTAATCAAGATTGTCGGTAATAATGGAAGTATACAACCTAGGAGAAGCAGCACATAATTTGCCCAAGGAAACAACAAAATACTGCTTTGGATCCTTAATTTCCTTCAAAGGGTCCTCTTCTTTCCGTTGAACATTGTAGAGACGAGGAAAGCTAGCATTATACCGAAACTCAGGAACTTCCATTTCATCCTCAGGTGCTTTCTGTTGGGAATTTTTAATCCACTCTCCACACAAATTGCTGGAAGTTTACTCACTCAACAACAGAATTAAAGTAAACAACGAAGCAAACACAACAAGTAGCACAAACACAACTTACGTGGTTTGATCTCTCATAGATCTACTTCCACGGGAATGGTAAAACTTTCTACTAATATAAAAATAGAAGAGTTTACAAAGGTGTAGCCTCTCTCAACACACTATGTCTCTCTCCCTCAATTCTACCCTTATACTCTCTAACAAAGTGTTTCCCATCACTCATCTCCAATGTGCTCCGGGGAAATAAGATGCACATCACTACACAAAGAAGTAGGAACTAGGAGAGGATCTCCACTCAACTCAATCCTAATTCTAACCCCCCTCCCCTCCACTCAAGAGCTCTCTCTCAATTGAGTGGCTACATCTTGCTTCTTTTCTCCCCAACTAGGTTTAGTACAAAAGTTTCCTATTTATACTAAAACTCTACACAACTATTACAACCTTATTGGACTCTAGGCCCAATACTCACCATCATAGGCTTGGAAATTTGAGGAGAAACCCAACACTTTCTCCAGCTCGCACCGCGACACAAGAGTCACAATGCTGTTCAGCAATTTCCCTGCAAGACCAGATTCCCAAATATCTGGTAATTCACACAGAAGTTTGGATGAAGAAACTGAAGTAATTTTCCGTTCCATATAACTAGCAGCGTCTTCAAGATTAGGTACCCAGAACATCTCCAAAAGCTTATGAAATAAATCATTCTTAACAGCATTTATCGAAACCACGAGTTTATCTGCACCATATTTGATGAGGAATCGACACATGAATATCACAAGATTATGAATAAATTCGTCTACGGGGTATCGTAGTGACCTGATAAATAAAACCCAAATTTGAGCCAATGAGGATTGGATCAAATCATAGTCAATGTTTTCAATCAAAGTATTCAGTAATTCAAACACTTGATCATGAAGCCCAGGAGGCTAAACCAGTTCACGGATTAATTGGAAAACATCTTCTTTTAACTTTCCCTGTTGAAATAACATCTTATGGGGCGCCTTTTGGAGGAAAGCCTGAAGCAGATAAGCAAGAGCAGGAGCATTGATTGATTTCTTCCATAAATCAGGTCTCACAAGTATCTCAAACATCGGGACATAATTCTTGAGCACAAGAGTCAACTCCACAAGCTATGCCAAAAGATGGAATGCATATGGGGAGAATTCGCTGATGCCTTCACGTAAGATCAACAGAATGCTTGGCAAAAGGCCAGTTTTGAGTTCAGAGATGATAGACGAGTCTACCTTGGAAGCTCGCCAAATAAGAGCAGCCACAGATTCAAATAGATAGTGACTGAAAACCTGGCTCTTGGGATCCTGGCACACCCTAATGACCAACGAACTTAGTTGAAAATACATTGCAAAGCAACATCACACCTCATCTCGGCCACACCAAGAACCCTCATGACACACTTCATTAGATAATGATTCTCCCCAGACTCTGACTTCTGTAGGGCAGTAAATAGGTTGGCCATCAACGAATCCAAAAAATAAGCAATATCCGTCGAGGTGAACCTTGGCCTACCATCATCTTTCACTAGCAAAATTTTCTCAATGCAGGTTACTGCATACGAATGGACCACATTTGATTCAGAATTAAGGAACGCTACCATATCAGGAAGCAACATGAGCGCTACAGGTTTCTCTATCTCAATCTTAAACACGGTGAAAAACTTCAAAGCACCAGCTTTCAAAAAAGGAAAACCATTCAGGTCCATACTTTGCAACTCAGGCACAATTACTGACACAAAAAAGCTCTCAACATCAGTAAGATCAGCACTCAAGGAGCCCCAACATGTTTCCTCCTAGCTAGTGACAGATGCACAACCACAACCAAAGAAATGGCACAATCTTTATACCTCCAATTCGCAACAGGGTTTTCATTGAAACACTTCAAACAATCCTGTATCTGCACAACACTTCCCAGGTAACCATTATTTTGTAATGGACTGCAATCCCTGTAAGAAGCTCACAGGCAACCACCCTCCTGGTTTCTAAATCACTCCCTTCCATATCTCTACTCATAAACTCATCACCATTCATGTCAAACTACTCCTCTTCCTCCTCCCTCAACATCATGTTCGACATGACTACACCTTGAACAATCTGCTTTCAAGAATTCGTCGTGAGCAAACAGACCATGGCGCACGCTCATGCTAACTCTAGTTAAAAACTTAATCGCAGCCACAATCAACTTTTCCCTACTCGAAGAGGACGATGCAACACGAAGAAAATCACAAACAACCTCCACAAACCCACTCAAATAATCCTTGATGAAGGATTCCTCTCCTTTCTCCATGTGGACACTAATATTAACACAAACTGTGGCTCGCAGCTCATCGACTAACACCTCCATCTCCTCATCAGCTTCATTGACTGTCACAAAAGCCAAATACTTGAGAGTTAAATAAGTTTTGAATTCAACCATCCACTCACACATATGATGCTCAGAAAATCCAACCAAGTGCTGATAATTGTGTGAATAAAATATCTCACAAAACAGTTTTTGGGACACTAGGTAGAGCTTAAGGGTATCTGAATTGAGTGGCACAGAGACATCAGCCTGATTTAACAGCCTGTGGGCGTGCAGAGGGCAGTATTAAAATGTCCCCAATTTACTGTACAGAGGTGACTTCGTAGACATTTTCACATCAAACTGAAGATGATGATGGTGCACAAGAATAGCTGGGAAGAAGGAGGTGCTTCAGTTGTTGATTTACTGCGGCAAGGAGGAGAAACGGTGAGTTGCAGCGACAGTCGTAGGGTTTCGGTAATTTTTCGGTCAAGTTCAGTGATTTTGTGGTAAAAAAATAACAACCCTAGCATGCCCTTATATAATTTTTTTTCAGCCTTATTCCTTGGAGGTTAAGATTACTCGTTCCCTACTTCAAGTTGGATTAAATTTGTGCCGAAAATCAAGCTCTGTTGCATCGCCTCTACTGGGATTTTAATTCGGAAATCTTCCTTTTCTTCTCGGTTTCGTCTGTGGCAAGAACCAGCAACACCACTTTCGGAAGCTTCTTCAAAACGACCATGGCATGGGCTTCTTTTCTTGGTTTGCCATAACATGGATCGGCCCTCATTGATGTCCAAAAATTGAAGTTCTGCTTGTCCATTTATTAAATCTCCAGCCTTGGCCCACTATCAACTAACCAAACCCATGCATATTCTCTCGGCCAGACCCAAATGGAAATCCAGAATTTCATTTTTCACCTCCAAATTCTTAAGTCATTAATTCGGCTAATCTTCAATTCCGCCCCCTTTAAGTTGCTTTTATCTTAAAAACTTCAACGATTCCTTCATTTGAGTACAATCCCTACAATCAAAGGTAAAATCATATAAAATAACAGAAATGTATCCAAAATATTGGCAAAATCTCGCGTAAAGAAATATTAAAAATAGATAAATTATATGCACATCAAATCTGTATAGCTCATGTCAATGACACAACACATCAAGACTTCTTGTGGTCTTCCAGTTGAGAAAATTCCAACTATTTTTATGAAGATAACGTAGCTTGTATTCACCAATTGGAGGAAGGATATCTCAAGAATGATCGGACAAAGCATATTCCTCTGAAGTTCTTTGCATATACCAAAGAGCTCATGAAGAATAATGACATTGACGTTCAATACGTCGTATCCAGTGAAAACTCAACTGATCTCTTCACAAAATCACTTCCTACAGCACTTTTCAGAAAGTATATTCATAACATTAGAATGCGTCATTTACACAGCATGTGAAGAATTATTGATGTTATCATCAGGGGGAGACAATTACGCAGTGCACTTTTTTTCCCTTCGTTAAATTTTTTTCCCACTGGGTTTTTATTTTAGCAAGGTTTTTAACGAGGCAGTATATATAACTAACGTAATTTATTTTGTCATTCAAGGGGGAGTATTGTAAATAAGTGAATGACAAAAAGTCAAAAACATTTACCCACTAGAATAGTTACATTAAATGTGAAGAAGGAAAATTGAGGCCAAATGTCTGCCAAAATTTTCCTATATATGTGACTTTCCAAAGTGAAAAATGCACCGAAGAACTTACTCATTCCTCCCTCTTGTTTTCTTTATGTCTTTTGATTTATAAAGTGAATTTCTCCCTTTCTTCTTAAATCTCGTAAGATATTTCATAATATTTCAAGTAGTAGAAAATTATAATAATAAAGTCTCTAGTATAAAAGTTAAATAACTATCATCACTAATTAAATTTTAGTTACCTTTGCGTTGGATCATTATATTTAGACCTTAGTTTTATAACATGAATAATAATGTTTGAATAATTAATCCATTATAACTTCTTATTCACACACGATTTTAAGTTTAATTCTTTCATTGGTATAATAACAAACTTATATACAAATTCTTGTTGAACTTATTTTCGTGTCAAAACTTTCACGATTCTCGTTATATTCTCTCCGTATAAACTTGGAATTTTTCTGTAAAGGTAGAAGATTTATCCACATTGTTTCACATTTCATAACTTTGCAAATTGCTTTTAAACAATTATCCTATTAGTGTCTCTTTTTCTTACATGAATCTTTCAATTTGATAGAAAAAATAAAAAATTGGAACAATTTATAGTAATCCCTCCATTTCAAAATGTAGGTCGTTTTAGGTTTGGATAAATATTTCAAAATGTAGGTCGTTTTAGGATTTCATGGCAAATTAAAGATTAATTTTTCAACTTTGCCCCTAATAAATGATACTAACAACTTTTCATCTAGTTTTTATTATAGTTCCAAAACAATTAATGAAGGATAAAATAAATATTTAACATATAAATCAATCATTAAATGATTGTTTCCTTAGTTTACGTGTAAATGATAAAAAGACTAATGGAGGGAGTAACAATTAACCCAAAGACTTATATATAACTTCCCATTAATCCAACATTTCTTACGTGGCAGAATCTCATTTGCCACATCAAGATACCAAAAGAATATTTGGACTTTGGGAAAAAACCAATAATCATATCCTACCCTCCTTCAAACCCAACCCACCCACTTGGTGAGTGATGATGAAATGATGAGATCCACGACAACCCACAAAAAAAAAAAAAAAAATCCGAAGCAATAAAACTGTCAACTGAAACCGCCGTGGCTCCATTATATAGAATAAGAAAATGCTAATGTGGGTTGCAAATTTCAGTTGATTCTTCTTGAATTAGGTTTTTGGTTGGTTTTAATCTTTTCCCCTCTTTAGATTAAGAATCCTTCTTCTGGGATTTTCTTCAACGCTTCTTCAAGAAATCGTCATTGTCATTCCAAGAAGTAGCCAGAAACAGAGAGCCAACAGTTGCACGAAATCTACACACAGTCACGCACTAATATATATAAGAAAGAATACTATTTCTCCTCAAAATCTGACTTCATGATTCTCACGTCTCTTTCTCCTCCACTGTCTTACCATTTCTTCAGTCCAACTCTACATGAATTCCTCCCTACCTGAAGAAATGGGTCTGTTTTTCTTCCCTTCATTTTTGCACATTATTGATTGACATTCATTGCCGGCCTTAAAACTGTAATTACTTACCATTTTCCTCACGATTTGCCCATTTTTTACATCAAGATCGAATCTTTTCTCTTGTGTTTTCAGACCCTTTTACCAAATCTCGAACAGCCCATTTCTTTAATCCTTAAGACTAGCACAAAGATTCCTTCAATTGATTAAAAAATAGGGGGAAAAAGAATATCTTGAATTGTTCTTCTTCAACTATCTGAAATAGCCATGACAGAGGTCCTCCACTCGTCTTCTTCCTCTTCATCTCCTTCTATTTCCACGCCAACCCACAATGGGGCATTGTTTCGGACCCAGTCATTCATGATAGGAGGAGGAGAAGAACAAGAGGAAGAAATTGTGGGAGTTTCAGCCGTAGAGGGTTCGGGTGGAATTGAAGCAGAGGAAGAAGAAGGAGAAGGGGACGCAAAAGACAGAGAGAATAAGGAGAGAAGGGCTAATCAGTTGTCCTTGATTGCTCTTCTGGTGACCCTATTTCGGAAGAGTTTTTGGATGGCTTGTAAAGCTACCACTGGAAGAGATGAGCTCTGTAATGGTGGTGCTAATGGTGGAGGAATGGAAATTGGGTGGCCTACTAATGTACGCCATGTTGCTCATGTCACCTTTGATCGGTTTAATGGGTTCTTGGGTTTGCCGGTGGAGTTTGAACCGGATGTTCCGAGAAGGGCTCCTAGCGCAAGGTAACTTTAATTTCTTTTTTATTCTCTTCTGTAATTTCGATTTTCTTGGATTTCTATAAAGTTCTTGAATGAGGATTTGTGTTTCTGTCATCGGCTCCTGAGTTTACTTGTAATTTAGCAAATTGATGTCGTGAGAAGCTGAGTCTGATTTGGTTGAATTAAAGCTCTTGAATGGAAATTAGTTCTTTCCAATTGGGGCTCAGAACTGAAGCTGAATCTGGATGTTGATATTTGAGACTTGAAAGTCAAGTAGTTTAATTGATTGGCATTTCTATATTTTATGTCCTTGTTAATTTATTGTATGATGCATTGGGACTTGCCTTTTTTGGCTTATTGAGTTGAGGCAATGGTAGTTAGCTGAATGGATTTTCTGCCTTGTCTGTGATGCCGGCCTTATCTGATTTACATGTTATATAAGTTGTTCAGTAATCTGCTGTCGCTATAATTGTGTCATGGTCATATCCCCGGTTGTAACTCTTGCATTCTCCATTCTTTACAGTGCGACCGTTTTTGGAGTATCCACAGAATCCATGCAGTTATCATTTGACACTCGAGGAAACAGTGTTCCAACAATTTTAATACTTATGCAAAGACGTTTATATGCTCAAGGAGGTCTTCAGGTGAGCATTTGCTGCATAGTGATTTCAGATGTCTTTTCTTTTTTTGGTCAAAGACCCGGTACAATGTGAATGTGTGAGAACGTAGAGCTCCTCAGATGGATTGAGGATGTGGTAGCAGTCCCGTCCATTTGTTCATTTGTATTATGGCATCTATTGCCGGTGTTGGCTTTTTGGGGTTTTCCCTTCAAATTGCTATATTTTGGAGAATATAATGGAACATCTAGGTCTTAAAGCTGAATGTGCTTGTTGCAGGCAGAAGGTATTTTCAGAATAAATGCTGAAAATAGCCAAGAGGAGTATGTCAGGAACCAATTAAACAGGGGGAATGTTCCAGAAGATATTGATGTGCACTGTTTGGCCGGCCTCATTAAGGTAAATACGACCTTACTTTCCATTTCGAGCTTTCCAGAATGTTGAGTTAACAATATCATAATTCATTAAAATGCTGCATTTCATGGACTGTTCTAAATTGTGGTTATCTTTTTTACTTTCTTTGAAGTTTTACTTTGGCCCAATAGCTGTAACTTGGATGATGAGATGTCTAAAATTATTCTGAATATATTACAATGTTGTGTTATTTATATTGAAAGATTAGTCCATCATAAATTCATTATCTGATAATTGAGCTTCCGAACAATCTATCATACTAGTCTGGTTGTCATGTCGTGTATAGCTTCCCAATTTACATTCAGGTCTATGTGCTTTTTGATTGTTGGTTTGGATAAATCTTGTCAATTCCAAGTCACAGGGATTTTGTAAATGGATGTGTGCTACACAATGTATATGATAGGCTGGATGCATTCTGTGGTGTTTGTAATTAACACCTCTGTTACGTTTGCCCCTTTTTGTTCCTTTTTGGGGATGTTTCGCAAGATGGAATTTTAAATACATTAGTGCATTTAACATATTCTATTTTTTGGAACTGGCACAAACTTGTCTTGGTATGACACAAACTATTTAAACCAGTAACCTGTCTACCAGTATGGTCTATTGCTTGATGTATATGGGCAAATCCAAACTGTTTCTCTCACGCATCACCTTATTTCAATTATAATTAATGACTACCTGTGGCATCAACCTTAAATTCGAATACCTCCATTTTAGAATCTACTTGAACATCTCTCAGTACATATTTGGCCTGATGCTTGTATGTTGCTGGTAATTCTGAAAAGTATGGAATGTATAGTGGTCTTATATGTTTGCTACATGTGTTTCCTTACACATCAGCTCCCTGTCTTTATTGCTATTTGCAATTTGTATAATATGCTCTGTTGTGTTATCTTGTTATGGATTTTATGTCTGTTTTGTGAACCTTAAAGTCTATGACGTTGATTGACTATTCCAAACGTGCACACTGGAATATCAGGAACACTCAGTGGGAGTAGTTTGTCTGTACTTCGATTTGGGAAAGATCTTAGGCATCATCTGTTTCAAAGCTTTTTTTTTATGATTTTTTTTTGGGGGTTAATAGTGATAGTTTTTCAGTTTAGCGGTCTGTCTAATGTTGACTTGATCCCACAGGCTTGGTTCAGAGAACTTCCCAAGGGTGTATTGGATCCTATCTCGCCCGAGCAGATAATGCAATGCCAATCACAGGATGATTGTGCAGCACTTGTCAGGCTTCTGCCTCCATCTGAAGCTGCTTTGCTGGATTGGGCCATCAACTTGATGGCTGATGTCGTTCAAATGGAGCATGTCAACAAGATGAATTCACGCAACATCGCCATGGTGTTTGCACCAAATATGACTCATGTAATTTTGTGACCGCTACCTTAATTTTTCCAATGTTAATTTTGATGCATTATATTATTCATTGTTTGTACTTGACACATAGGATGTTTGCATGTTTAAAATCAGTTACTTGTTTGTGGATTGCAGATGGCTGATCCATTGACGGCATTAATGTATGCAGTCCAAGTGATGAACTTTCTGAAGACACTTATAGAGAAGACATTAAAAGACAGAGAAGATTCTGTTGTAGGACAAGCTTCCACATCGGACATGGAACCATTTGATGATGATGGACATCAGAGTCCAGGACTGCGTCTGTCAGATTTCCCTGAATCAAATTATGGGTCAGAGCGATTGTCTATAGGAGGACCTGTATTTGACACAGCATCTGAGTCCAATCAAGGGGAGCACCTCTGTATTGAGGGATATCTCACTTCTTCAACCTCTCCTGAAGAATATTCTGATGAGAGTGGGTCCTGTGGAACTCCTGTTCAAACCTATAGCATCACGAACACAAGAGAATCTGGTAGAATGTTTCCAAGGGCTGGAAGTGTTGAGAACAGCCAGGAGGTCAGAGAAGGCCAGTCAAGTGATTCCGATCAGATGAACTCCAGTATGAAAATGAATGAACATCATCCCGTAAGCCTAGGTATTGGAATCCAGAGTAAGAGCAAAGGCATGAGCAACTTAAGCCGCATTGACTCACTGACCGAGAGAATCGAAGCCTGGCGTTAGCATGTGGTTTGTCCATTATCTGAATCCTTTAACTCTGATTGAATATCTCTGTGTATTGATTCTTTGAGATTGTGAAAATTGTGAATTACCACCATGTAATGCTGTTGACAGTGGCTTTCTAAATTTCCCTGTAAACTCGTCCTCCTTCCTTTTACAGCTTTTCTTGTAAAATGTTAGCATGTTTTCCATATGTTTGGTTACAGTTTATGATCTTCCATTATCGTCTTGCTATCTTTCGATTCAGGACCACATTGTTAACCCTTGATGTTGATGCACAGCTATGCTCTCATAGTGTGACATTTACTTTGTAAAAGCTAAAACAATCAAGTGGACGAGAAACTTAGTTGCAGCCAATTGTTGCAGATAGATTTGGAATATTCCTAACTGATATCCAGAAGAAGATTTATTCCGGGTCGAAAGATAGGCAAAGATTATCCCACGATTTACCATCTTTGACAAATTTTGGTGAAAATGGCTTTAGAAAAAAATTTCACTTTCACATCAGTCCCTATTTTAACTTTTGGATGCTGATAGAAAGCTTTGGTAGTGGTCGGTTTTGATGATTGTTATTGCAATTGGGGTTTTCACATCTGCAGAGTATAGTACCATACGTGTTGATTTTGGTTGTTTAGTTGGAGTTTTCTTACCTTTTTAAGTTTGAACACAAGTTTTACTACATAATTTGATGGCAAATATCACTTGGCACTTGCAACTTGCAGTTGGCTTGTGGGTTCAATAGCCTTTTTAGTGTGACAAGTATATTCGGTTTTTGACAATCCACATCAATCACTATAAACGTTAATTGTGAACGTATTCAGAAACCTAGTTTTCTCTACAAATTCTGATTCTTATCCACCGCAAATAGGTATAATGTCTTCATTTTCCCCCTTGAAACAACCGTATATGAATCAAGGTGCAAAGCATCATGCAATTTTTGGTTCACATTGACACAAGTTGATCACTCAGGTTGAATTGACTTGACACAAGCTATTGGTGGTCACAGGCCTATCTTGAAATGGGAAATTTAAAGTAGAAACTTTGATGATATGCCAAGATTTGCTATGATTTTGATTTTTGAATAGCCACATTCCTCTCCTTTCGTTTTTTCCTTCTGTTAAGCACTAAAGAAAGTCATTGAATATGGATCCAAAGGGTCAAGAAGAACACAATTCTTTTTCTTTTCCCTCTGACATTCAAATGGATCAATAGTCGTTCTTTATTTTGCTCTGAAGTAATTTGAACCAATAAACACAAAAAATCGTAATTTGTCGGTCCATTTTTTTTTTATTGAAAACACAAATGTTATTTAAAACTAAAATGCAATTTTATACAATTTACATTAAGGCTCCGTTTGGTTAGATTAAATTGTAATTAAATTAGAATTACAATACTATTGAATTAAAAACGATATATTAATATTGCAATTCAATCCTAATTCTTTCATTTGGAAGATCTCAAGAATTGACTAGAATTAAGGTTCTAATATCAATTCTTCTGTTTGGATCTTTATAAATTTATAAAATCTAGAATTAGAATTAGTTTTTTATTATCTAACTATAATTTAGTACTTTATTTCATCGAATAAAAGAAATATTTAATTTTATAAATCAAAGCAATTTATTACTTACATATATAAGATAAAAAAAATAATTTTATTATGTACATTTATATTAAAACTTTTGTTGTCTGAGTAATATATATCAATTTTATAATTTATAGATACATACATATTTGTGGAAAATTTTTTATTATTATTATTACGTAAGAAATATTAACGTGATGATTGGAATTCTCACAAGTAACATGTAGAACATCCTTGTTCCTCTCCTTTTTATATTTTATAAATTTTCAATTTTTAATTTTTCTTTTGGGTTTTAGTGGAAAATTTTTATATAGTTGAAAGTAAAGACCATTCATTTATGTATAGATTAACATTAATACATAGTGCTAATTAATTATTTTTATTTTTAGTATATAATTACATATGGAATAATATATATTTCGACTTCTTGAAAACTTTTCATAATTTTTAGTAAAAAAATTTCAAGTATAGTTCAAAAATTATTTATACATTTGATTAAAAAAAAATTGTTAACCCATAATTTATACCTTTCATTTTTTAAATACATTACTGGTATGGTTATACATTTGATAGTTTTTGTCAAAAAAATACGAGTACGATACTAATTTTAATATATAGATCTCATTAATAATTATCAATATGATGTACACCTCTTTTGCACAATAAATAAAAACATATGTTAATTTAACAAAAAGTAAAAAAAATAAATAAATAAAAAATCCAGCGCTAAAAGAAAAGGGGCAAAAAACAAAAAAGAAAAAGGAAGCGCATTTGCAGGGGTGAAAAAAAAAAAAACAAACTTCAAGTCTTCAAAGGACTCGTTTCGTTATAATCCGGAAAACGACTTGCATGTGAACTGCATTTTTCCTTAAATCCCTAATTTAACAAAAAGTAAAATAAATAAATAAATAATCCAGCGCTAAAAGAAAAGGGGCAAGAAACAAAAAAGAAAAAGGACGCGCATTTGCAGGGCTGAAAAAAAAAAAAAAAACTTCAAGTCTTCAAAGGACTCGTTTCGTTATAATCCGGAAAACGACCTGCATGTGAACTGCATTTTTCCTTAAATCCCTAGAGTTCGAATTGCAATTATTTGCTCTCACGAAAGAATTGAAAATAAAGAATTGAGCCTCATCTTGAATTATAATTTTAATTCCGAAACTCCTATTTTTGTCAGCCAAACACAAAAATTAGAATTGAGGGCCTCCAATTCCAATTCTTGGGTCCAATTCAATCCAACCAAACAGAGCCTAAGATTAACCTTTGATTTAATTCGTTGATATATTATGTAAACTGTAAACGACCCTATTCGGATCCGAAGGATTACATGAATCTTAGGGCCCGTTTGCAATTCTATCACAGAATTTTATTTAAAAAAAAAGATTATTCATTGCTTTTTGTCTATCATATATATGAACCATATTGTATGATACAATTGACAAAAAAAAGGATTAAATTTTCGGCAAATTATCTGGTACATTCGGGGGCACCGTGTACCCCCTGCGCGTGTACTTTACTCTCTTAGAATAGCGTGAGCTCGCTAGATAATTCAGATTTCTTTTTCTTTTTTTTTAAACGTGACATATATAAATTACCGAATTCATTCAAATTTTGAAAACTTACTGTGCCAGTATTGACACTGTGGATAACCAGTGTGCACACTATGGATAACCATCTACACACTATGGACAACTAGTGTTCACAATGTGAATAACCAGTGTTGGCAATATGAATAATTAGTTATATACAGTTGGATTATTTCCATCATTTGGCAAACTGCCCCTCATTCATTTTTTGTTCTCCATCATTTGGCAAAATGCCCCTCATTCAATTAAATACTATTTATGAAATTTGCTGTGTTCAGCAGGAGGGGAGGCGCAGCCGGGTCGTTTAGTTTATCACGGGGGGATTTATACAAGTAATTTGTGTCCCCTCTTAACGCAATAACACACCCTCCTTACACAAACACGAAAAAAGGATTACCTTAGTTAAATTGGTGTGTTCGGCGGGGCGGCGCAGCCGGGGCAAGTTGGTGACTTGCGATTCCAGTAGCCGCGGGAGTCGTTTAGTTTATCATGAGGGGAGGGGGGGGAGGCGAAGCCCCCCAATTAACATGTCGTTTGCTTATTTACCTCTGATAACCAGTTTACAACTTGTGGATAACCAGTTTATACCTTCTGGATAACCAGTTTACAACTTGTGGATAACCAATTTACACCTTCTAGATAACCAGTTTACGCCTTGTGGATAACCAATTTACACCTTCTGGATAACCAGTTTACCCCTTATGGATAACCAGTTTACAACTTGTGGATAAATTATGGATAACCAGCAATTGTGTGTGTTTGTGCGTGAGGATTAAAACAGTAAAATGGATGAAAACAATTTTGTTTGTGCATTTAATGTAAAAGTGAAAAATGTTGAACGCGTGTAGTGCATGTATTTGGTGGGGGTATACGGTATACCCAGGTGCACTAGATACGGACTCAAATTTTCAATACATACAACGATTCAATTGAAGCACTTTCAACTTCTAATAATTATCACATCCATCTAAAACGATGATTAACATCTCAAATTCAAACTGAATATCTTCAGCATTCAAAACCTATAGCAACCTTTTCTTTAGTGGAGCATTCAAACATTCAAATGGAACCACACTAAAGTTGACCCCCAAGACCTCCTTAGTTGCAAAGTTTCCTTATCTTTTTGACAAGCTTTCATCAATCAGCTCAAAGGTGGCCAAAATTCTAAAGGATATGTAACTTCAACGATTCAAAAAAAATCTCGAATTTTACAGATAGAAGATGCACACCTATCTATCTGTACGCAGTAACGATGCAAAATTGGCATATACTACTTTGATGTGGATCCTATCTATCTTGCATCTTTTAAAAGAAAAGGCAAGTAAATTTTTACAGGTTGTTTTTTTTTTTTTGGGCACACACAAACTATATATGAACCACCAAATTGTACTGAAAAAAAAAAAAAAACAGCAAGACCAAATTGGTTCCAAAAGGACTAATAACCGCCCATCCCTTATTCCACTCCCAGCTTAGAGGCATCCTGTAAACCAGAGCTTCCCAAATAAATAGCAACTTTCCTTTCCCCCTTGACTTTTTATCTCCCAAAAAAAAAAATACTACATCAATTTGCCCGTGCATTTCTCTCTTTTATTTCCTCTTTCATTCATTATTATTAACACCTTCTTCTTCTTCTCCTTCTTCTTCTTCTTCTTACTGTTTGTTGTTTCTCTTATGTTGTTTGTTCAACCTTAATCTCCTCAACCCAAACAAAAAAAAAAAGAGAAAAAAAAAACCATACTGAGAAAATTAAGAGAAAAAAAATAACAAACATGGCTGCCTGTGGAAGCCTTCAGCACATCTTTGAGAATCCATTACCTGAAAGTCCAACATTTCTTGAGTCTTTATCTCCATGGAAGGCAATCAAGAACATGAAACCTGTGGAGAATTGTACTTTCCAAGAGATTTTCGGGGAGCTGCATTTTAAGGAAAGGAATCACCCTGTTGTTGTTGTTGATGTTGATGATCATTCTTCTTCCTCTGCTTTATCTGAATCCATTATATCTCCTTCTCCATCCTCTTCCTCCTCGTCCTCGATATGGCGATCTTCCTCTTCCTCTGTTTCTCAGCATTTGCCATCATTCTCAGGAGATGGAATTGAAATCAGCCCAACAAACAACAACAAGAATAATGATGATGAAAGAAGCAAATCCCCTGTTACATCAAGTTGCTGTTATTATCCCTCTACCACCAGCCAGAAGAAACATTACAGGCATAGTGATAGCTTTTCTTCCATGAATTCAGAGAGTTTATCATTGTGTACAGAGGGTCTTGGATTTGAAAGCTGTGATGATGTTGAGGATTTAGGGAATAATAACAATACTAATACTTTTAATGAGGCGGGTTTTGATTTTCAGCCAATTCATGATCAGGAGAAGGTATGTTTGTCAAGACAATCATCTCATCCGCCTGTTGCTGAAAGTTATTGTTCTAAAAGATCAAGAACAAATAAAGGTGCAAGCTTTCCACCACCTATTTCTTGCATAGGCAGGACAGGGAAGCCATGGGTTTGTTTCAAATCATACAGGCAAGATGGCAGATTCATACTTCAGGAAATCAGATTCCCAATTCAGGAGTTTCTGCATGCGTGCAGAGAAGATGGACGCCTGAGGTTGCAATATATCCAGTCAGATGATGAAATCCTTGAAGGAGATGAAGATGAAGAAGACGATGAAGACGAAGATGATGATTCTTTTGATGATGTTAAGGATGTAAATGAAGAGAAAATAGGCAATGATTTAGATGATGATGATGACAATCATGAACATCATCAACAAGGTGATGATGAAGATGCAGATGCAGATGATGAAGCTGTTCAGATGGGCAACAATGATGTCCAAGATGATAGCTCAGAATAGGTAGATGATTGAAAATAAACCCTCAACTTTTATTCTTCAGGATTGTTTTGATTATTTCTGCCTGCCAAGAAAACTTCATGGCAGGAAAATTGCTGTGGAGATCTTAATTTGCAAATAAATAGAACATTCAAATAGGTTGTTGACGATGATGGATCTTTGTTAGATCTTTACGAATTGATTTTAGTTTCCCTTATGCATATCTTTCCTCATTGAAATGGCAAATCCTCTGTTTTTCCATACCACTTTTAAGTTTTAACTGCAATAAGTTCAACAAAATTGAACCAATTTTCTCACCATCTCTCTGATATTGTGTTAACACAATGTTATTAAAATGTGAAAACAGAGTAGCTACTTGAATTTTCATACTCCCTCAATTCCAAAATGTTTGTCCTGTTCGTTGCACTAGTTGCGACAGAGAGAGTATTGCTCAGAATCTGATGCTTTATGCTCCCTTCGCCACGAAATTATTGTCCAGTTTGGATTTTCAGTTCTAATACAAATTAAACTAAAAATGAAAATCCAAACTGGATAATAATTTTGGGACAAAGGACATACATCATTAGAAAATCTGGAAAATCTTTTCAAACATATACGAAGTTTTGGTTCGTCATTCCTCTAAGTTACCCGAACTAGCCACAAAACAAGGTTACAAATCAAAGTAAAAACCTAGATGAAAGATGCATCTTTTTAGCAAAAGGTTGATGTTGGCTTCCACTATATGCTAGAAGATAGAAAGAGAGAGCGCCAATTACCAAAGACGCAAATCATGCATTGACCAGAGATTTGTAAGATACTAGGAATCTTAAAATCTAAAATATTTAAGATAATATTGTAACACCAACACAACATGCTTATCTTTAATCAATAAGAAAATACGACCTAAAAATCACAATGTGAAACAAATGTGTTATTCATTACGCAGCAATTTATTAGTCAGTCCTAGTTTCCAGAATCTGTATTCCAAGATATTTTGCCCTGGAAAAAGATTCATTATCATAAGCTTGAAAAGCACTAAAGGCAGAAACAATGACAGGTGCTTCAAGGGATACCCTTTTATGATGTCATACAGGATCTAGTTGAAAAGCAGAAATCTTTTAATTAGGCCACACATGTCAAGAACTAACAAGTTTTCCCACAACCAAATCCATCTGTCGATTTGCCGTAAACAGACAGGTTTTTTTCTTTCTTTATTTCTTTTTGGTTTACAAATAGACAGATTTTCACATAGCAAGAACTTGTTTCTTACAATCACTGAATCTGGGGCTACCAAGTGCCTCCAGAAATAACTCAAAAACAATTTCATAATCAGATTCTTCGGGTAATGATGCACCGTGACCAAGAGTCAAGAGCCAAATGTGATCTCATACCCATGTTTCTTGAAGGCTTTGAAGCCACTAAAGGTACGTGAACGCCCTCAAACATCTAAAAAAGAAGCTCTTACTAAGTTGATTCATAAACTAGAACTCCAAAATGCATAATTAACTGCACAACTCATTCTCAAGCCCTTCCAACTTCTGCACCAACTAAACTAATGTCCCTAATGATAGCAACAAACAAGCTAATGAACTCAAAATAAGATGAAAGGAAAGGAAAAACAAAAACAGCAGTACATTGATTAAAAACCTACTCCAGCTCCAGAAACTGATGCCACTTTCTTAGTTACCGATAGTTTCTCATGGATGAATTAGTGGTCATTCAAATTAGTAAAGCTCCTTTTAACAGAAATACACCATCAGTCTAATGAAAAGGTCAGCTCATTTCCCACGAGCGCAAGTGATTTGATGGCACAACTCGCAAATATGCAATGATATAACTTGTTCAGACAGTACAGATAGTGACATCAAAATTGCATGATCAGATGTACAGACAGTCTCAAATCACTGTTGAAACTTAAACACAACTAACCTGAAGCCCAAATGTCTTCGAGCATTAAACAACTACCCATTGTTTCAGAGCATCACTCTGCAACTTCATGGTGGATTTGAAGATAGAACAAACAATAAGTTCCAAAACAGACTTGGTTCTTTAGACTCACACATATGGCATAGGATATGTGAAACTGCAAATATTAATATTCCTTAAGACTTAAAACAGTCTTGTTGCCACCTTCCAAATCTACTTGAAACAATACCCAGAACAATATCCAGTAAATGAAAGCAATCTAAAGATACTTCAGTATGAGGACGGTGTGCTTGACATATGAGGTGCAATACACAAATGAGAGGCTCTGGGGAACATTGATATCTTCTCAAGTATGAGGACGTTGTGCTTGAAATCATCAGGCGCGGCCATGGAGTGTAAATTCACTCTTTTCAACGCAGCACCATGCTTTAGAATATACCTTATCAGTTTTATCTCATCAGTAAGGCCTTCGAATCCACTGAATGAAACTTCTACCAGACTGCGTAGGAGGAATTCTGGGATTGCTGTAGGTTTCCTCCAACATGATTTATGATTTCCAAAGTAACCTGAGTATTTTGTGATGTGAAGGACTTCTAGTTTCATTGAACAACCCAGCAAGTCTTTCAGAAAGCTCCACTTACTACACTTGCAGTCTATGTACAACTTGGTTAATTTCTCAAACCTAGCTGACAGTCTATTAGTGGCATAAATTAGAGCCCTCAGAAGTTTGACCAGTTAATTTCAGCAACTTCGTACAAGTCATTGCGTCAACTTGCTTAACAACCAAATTGCAGCGATCCACATTGCATTCCAAATCAGACAGATTGAGCTCCACTTCACTCAAAGAGTATAGCCCTTCTAATAAGTAAATTCTCGACACTTGATCCTTCAAAATGAGATGATCAAGTGCAGGGGCGTCTATTTGCAGCTGCTCAGTCAATGACCAGGCGTTGTGAAAACCAACATAAAAATTCAATTCAAGAAATCTAAGTGAGCAGGAAGATATGGCACAAACTATCAAATTATCGGAGCAATGCCTATAGAGATGCAAAGGGAATAAAGCACTGGACAACAAGATATAAACTTATGAAAAGACTTGTAGCTCCCTTTTCATAAAGTTGTAAGACTGCTAGGTTTGGGAAGACGAATCATACTAGGGATCATAACGAGGAAAGGAACATCCAAGCGGAGAAACTCGAGTTTCTCACTGGTGAAAAGGTTACGTGGTAGTCGAATCTCAAAACCACCCACAATCGAATATCCAACATACACATCAATAACCTTAACATTGCGAGCAACTCAATCTTCTCAGTGTCGTCTTCTTCTTCTTCCTCTTATGCATCGCTGCCATTTGTTAAGAAATAACTCATCATCCAAATCAAAAGGGTTAACTTTAGTCCAGAGAAATCGACAAACTTTTAGATAAAATGCTAGTCCCAACAGCAAACTTCGTGGGCAATAAAGGACAGAATGAGCAAACGATCGATTCCGGCAAATTGCTGATTCTATCAACTGGGCTTGCATCGGTGCCATGAAAGCACTTTTGGAGCTTCTTCGAAGAAGCCCTCGATTCAGTCGAGGTTTCCATATCACGTGGTGATCACTAAATCCCGCAAACCATCTCCTTGTTGGCACCCATATATAAAAGTATGTCACAATTTTGGAGCATTTTTGGGACTTGATTAAAGCCCTAATTAACGAAGTGAAATTGGGGAGAAATACAATCCCCGAGAGAAATTTGATTACAATCAACGGTAGTTAAATGAGTGGACATTGGGAAAAATTGGTTGTTCTTCCTAAGCTTTACGTTCGTTCGTCAATTTTATTCTATTTTTTTTAATTAATTAATATTACTCTAAACTATCCAATCGATTTTAAAAATTATAAAAATAATTCCAAAAATTTATAACAATAACAAAATACAGTTTTTGTTTAATCTTTTCTGTTTTTTATTTCTTTTTACTACTTTCATAAGTATAAAAATATACTATATGATCTTTTAAAATAACAATTTATTTTTAAACACTACTACACAAATTTATAGATATACATATTTTAATTCATGGTTGATTTACATAAACGTATTAACTTTTTCAACAATATGGCTAGAAAATAATAGTATTAGTTTTTTAATCCGTTTTTTTCAATTTAAAGAATAAGATTTTTTTTTTTGACTAAAACTAATTTTTTACAAAAAAAAATTAAAACATTTAGCATAGATTAAAAAATAATCGGCCAATTTTTCCATTTCATGAGAGTAGATGTAAGATTAGGTCTTACCAAAAGATTTCTTACCGAGAGAGTGATTTTGAATAGTGATTTCAAATTAGTCTCCTAAAAAAATTGTCGGTGGGAGAAGTTTTGCTTTTGAGTAGTGATTGTTGGGTGATATGGAAAGATCAATTGAATGGAGGTATTCTTCTCCCTCTGAGGAGCTCCAAAAGTGCTCTCATGGCAGCGATTCAAGTCCAGTAGATAGGATCAGCAATCTGCCGGAGCCCATCATTTGTTACATTCTCTCTTTATTGCCCACAAGATTTGCTGTTGGAACTAGCACTTTATCGAAAAGTTGGCGGTTTCTGTGGACTCAAGTTAACACCTTTGACTTGGACGATGAGTTTCTCCCTTACAGTGGCATCAATTACGAGGACTGGGGCACGTATTTTCGGGGAATCGTTAACAAGCTTTTGATTCAACTGAAATCTAAAACTCAGAAAAAGTTTCGTCTCTCTTGGGTGTACAGTGAAATAGAAGATGCAAGTAGATGGCTCGACAAAGCTATTATTCAGAATGTTAAGGTTATTGATATGATAAATCATCCCTCTGTTAGTTCTGGGATTCAACTACCAGATATCTTTTTCACCTCTGGGCCGCTGGATTTTTGACTTGATAAAAAATTAGGGGGTGAAAATGTGGAGGACAAATTTAGTTTACTTTTTCTTTTTTTAAAAAAAAATTAAATTTCGAATTAGTTATTGTAGCGCGGTAAAATTTTAGAGTGATAGTGGGTTCGGTGTTAAAAATAAAACGTAATTAATATTTATTTGTATCTAACATAAGTGTTAAATAAAAAAGTAATTTTTACAAATAATGTAAACTTTAAAATTTTATAAAATTTTAAATTAATAAATAATATTTTAATTAATAAATAATGAAATTTGAATTTTATAGTATTTTTAATGATTTAAATTTTAATAAAAATTTAAATTAAGTAAAAAGACGAAAATACTCCTGATTCCGGCAAATCAATAGCCGGTCAACATTAAAGCTTGACAGAAAAGTGGTCGAAATAGTGAAATAAGACCAAAAAAGTGTAAAAATATAATGTTTGGGATTATAATATTGAAATGTTAATGTTAGGGACGTGAATTCAAATAATCCCAAATGTAAGATACCATATGAACATTTTACTCGAGCTAGTATTGAATTTGATTTCTATCCACTCTATGGTAATAAAGAATAAAAAATAAAGAAGATGGAGTCTAGATTGCAAGTTTGCAATGATGAATATACTGTAACAACACTACACTAGACTCTTGAGATTCCTTTTAATGCTTGCGTTTAACCTTTTCTTTTTCTTTTTTTTTTTTTGGCCAGAGATATTTAGTCCTATTTCAACCAACAAAACTATGAATGCACCATTTGAGTAAATTTGATAGCAGTTCAAAACATTTTTTTGAAAAAAAAAAAAAGGAATAAAGAAGGAAACCTGACGACGTGGAAGATAACTTACAGTGGTTGAGCAGTTGAAATTCAACCAATTTTCAATGGTTTTAAAGTTTAAACAAACAAATAAATAATGGGGTTCAATTATTTTGATTTACTGGCTCCACGCTAATATTTGATTTTGATTGTTACTTGTCTTAACACTATTGGAACGTAATTTAGTAGGACCAAATAAAGGAAAATATATGGCAGAATGGTTATTATACCACTTGATAATAAATTATATATTAAACGTATTCTTAACAGCACAATATCCATTCTGCCATATTAAACGTATTCTTAACAAATTGGTTATATTAAACGTATTCTTAACAGCACAATATCCTGTGTGACACTTTTTTTTGCCATTTATTATGACACAATTCAATTGTTTCTTATAAATTATATAGGCTTTGTTTGGTTGCATTGAATTGGGACCAAGAATTGGAATTGGAGCTCTATAATTCCAATTCTTGTGTTTGGTTGCTAAAAATAGAGGTCCAAGAATTATAATTATAATTCAGGATGGGACTCAATTCTTTATTTTCAATTCTTTTGTGGAAACAAATAATTAGATCCAAATTCAAGCCACTTAAAAAAAAACATGCGAGTCATAGCCGGGTCGTTTCCGGGTTATAACCTAAACGGTCGTCCTATCAATTTTTTGACTTTTGGCCCTTTTTTTATATATTTTTTATAATTTTATTTTTTCAGCTTTTTTCGTTTTCTTTTTTTGCTTTCAGCGCTTCTTGCCGTTTTTCTTTTCTTTTCTTTTTTTCATTTTTTTGGGCTGTTTGTCTCATTATTATTATTATTATTATTATTATTATTATTATTATTATTATTATTATTATTATTTCATATATATCATTCTAATAATTATCAACGAAATCAATCTTAAATTAACATTGTATTTTTTTTACAAAAAAATCAAAAGTATAGCTATAACCAAAAAAAATTAATAACTAAATATTTTAGTTTTGGTTAATATTTTTATTATATTATGACATAGTAAACAACATAACATTTTCATTTTTTTAATAGAAATTGTTCCATATATACACCTATATTATAATACACACACACACACACACACACACACACACACACACACACATATATATATATATATTAACTATTCATGGCATCTTTTCACAAAAAATTATGTAAGTTGAGTTTTAAGTATCTATTATTTCATACATAATTATATACTGAAAAGAAAAACATTTAAGCATATATTATATACTAATGTTAATCTATGTATAAATGAACCTCAATATTCATAAACTGAATTTACAATGTTATATACTAAAAATCTTTTTAATTTTTGATATAAATCAAAACATCAAAAATTAAAAATTTTGAAAACTAATAAAAGAGAGGAAAACAAAGATGTTTTACTTGTTACTTGTTTGTGTATTAAGTAAGAATTTTAAGTACCATATTAATAGTTCTTATACGTAGTAATACTTTTTTTGTTTCCAACACAAATGTGTGTACATAATAAATTACAAACTTGATATAGCAAATTAATTAATAATAATAATTCGTTTTAACAAAAAAAGTAAAAATTGTATTAGTTAAACAACTACAAATTAGTCAAATATACATGTACATAATGAATTTATTTATTTTTTTGTGTTATACATATCCATAATAAAATAAGTTTTTTTTTTTTAAAAAAAAAGTTTTTGACAAGAAGTATAAATTGTACTAGTATTAGTTATACTATAACAAATTAATCTCAATTCTAAAGTATCCAAATTTTTATGCATCCAAACGCAAGAATTGAAATTAGAACCTTAATTCTAGTAAATTTTCAAGATCTCCCAAACAAGAGAATTGAGATTGAATTATAATATTAATATCTCATTTTCAGTTTAATAATATTGTAATTCCAATTCAATTAAAATTCAATCTAACCAAACGGAGCCTTTTATTGATACATATACTATTCACAATCACTTTCGAATTTATATATTTTAGGACTAAGAGTTCACTTTTTTCGGGTTAAGGCTTATTTATTTTAATTTCATAGTTAAAAAATTCAATAAAAATAATCAAATTTCATTAAAAAAAACATTGATATAAAAAATAAAATAAGTATTTGAAAATTATCTACATTGAAAATATGTGATTGTGATATATGTATTAACATAAATTACATAATTTATAATAAGTAATTGAATTGTATCACAACATCAATGTGTCCAGAATCCGGTGTCATTTTTAACACTTCAGAATTTCAATCTCGTTCACAATAGAAATGCATTATCTCTTTCGCAAACAAAATAACGAATCATGAATATATGCATTGTAGAATGGATGAACTTATGGTCATTCTAAATGGCTGGGTTCCTTTTAATAGAAGTACACCATTCAATATAATGAAGAGGTCAGCTCATTTCACAAGACCAGAAGTGAAATGACAGCCTAAGTTTGAACTATGCGATGACATAACTTGTTTAGACAGGAACATCAGATATCTCTTCCAAATCCAACATCTTTCACACCACATTAGTTCCATGGAGAAGACCATCCTTTCTCTCTGAATTAATGGTTGCTCAAAATGGCAGAGCTCCTTTTAATAGAAGTATATCATTCAGTATAATCAAGAAGTCAGCTCATTTCACAAAAGCAGAAGTGATTTGATAAGTCTGCAATGATATAATTGTTCACACAGGAACATCAAATTTCTTCCAAATCACATAACGCCACATTAGTTCTATGGAGAAAACCATCCTTTCTGATCTATAACATCTCCTTAACATAAACAATCAGAATGCATTCAGGTACCAAAAAGAAGTAAAATTCTCGTCCCCAACAAACAAATGGTCTCTGCAAAACATAAGTTCACTACTACAAGAAGACTAAACTTTCAATGTGATGAAAACATACATAATCAGATCACATTTCAAGCTAAATAAACTGCAACGTTGATTGTATTTAAATAAAGACATTGAGACCATAGCTCATTCACTTTTGAGGTAACTGACCTTGAAACCTAATACTTTGGCTTCAAATCTTTTTATAAATTGCAGAAGTACATGGGTCCAACTGTTGAAGCACTAAACAATCTCCTTGGAAAGAAGAAATCAGAGGAAAGGTTTGCTAGTTTTGATCTGCGGTTGATACCATTTTTTGTATACTTAAACGTTGAGAATGCAGTCTATTATGATCTATCTGCGCCTGTTGCTTCAACTTGAGCACTAGAAATTCGGGTTCAAGGACCCTGTGGAGCCTTTCATTTCTGATCCTCAAGATCTATCTTTGACTTGAAAAAATCTACAAAGGAAAACCTAAAACTGCCTGATATTGCAAGCTCAGGCAATATTAAAAAACCACAGAACTTTGTACTTACAAGAAAATGAACATAGGGGAAAAGTCGAATCTATATGCCTAATATAATTTCTCAATCATGGTTGTATAAACGCATAAACATTGTAACTACCTACACAAATCGAATTCTAGAATAGAGTTTGCTGGAGCACCAACCAATTATCTCTCTGGAAAACAAATCAACCACATTATGAAAATGCTAACCTGAGTTGTCAAAAGTCCAGGACCAGATATAGTTATCAATAGAGTATATCGAATCTTCATCAAGACTAGATATTTAAACATGAAATTTAAAAAGCAACTAACTAGTGAAATTTAAACACAGCCAACATTAAGCCAAGTGACTTAGAGCACTAAGCAACCACCAACTGCCAGCAAGCCGTCTATCCATAGAGTCATGGTGGATTTGAAGATAAAACAAACAATAAATCCCAAAACAGCCTTAATTCTTTAGACTAACGCACAATATAGGATATTGAAACTGCTTATATGACTATCCCTCGAGGCTAGAATGTCTTGTCACAACTTTATCAAAGCTGCGCTGGCGCAACATCCAGCAAACAAAACTTCACAGAACAATCCCATTGTATGAAACATACCATTGCAGGCATCTCAAGAAAATTTGATTCGACAGGAATGAGAGATTCTGGGGAACATTGATATCTTCTCTTGTAGGAGGGAATCACGAGAAGCAGCTTCGATGTCCAAATTTACTCTTTTCATCACTGAACCATGCTTTAGAATATACCTTATCAGTTCTAACTCATGCTTAAGGCCTTCAAATCCAGTAAATGATACTTGTACCAGACTGTGTAAAAGGCATTCCAAGACATCCGTAGGTTTCCTCCAGCATCTTTTATGTTTTCGTTTACAGCTTGAACCTATTGTGATGCGAAGGACTTCTAGTTTCTTTGCACAATCCATTAAGTCATTCAGGAAGCTCCAGCCACAGCACCTACATGTTATGCACAATTCGGTTAAATTCTCAAACCTTGTTGACACACTAGTAGTGGCACAGGCAAGAGCAATCGAAGTCCAGCGAGTTAACTCCAGTGACTTCGCACAATTCACTGCTTCAACTTGCTTAACAACCAAATTGTAGCAGTCGGAATAGCATTTCAAAGCATGCAGACCAAGTTGCACTTTGCTCAAAGAGGATAGCCCTTGTAATGAGAATATTCTGGATACTTCATCCCTCCAAATGAGGTGTTCAAGAGCAGGGGCATCTATTGTCAGCCGCTCAGTCTCAGACCAGTGGCTAAGAAAAGCACTATAAAAATGCAATTGAAGAAATCTAAGTGAACGGGAAGATATGGCACAAACTATTAAATTATCGCCAGAAGACCTAGTGATGCTGAGCGAATCGAGCACTAGACAACTAGATATAAAATTACAAAAAGACTCGTCCGATCCAATTTCGTAAGAAACCTTGATAAGTTGCAAGACTGCTAGTTTGGGAAGACAAACCATAGCAGGGATCTTAAACAGGAAAGGGCCTTCCAAGCTTAGAAACTCAAGTGTTTTACAGGTGAAAAGGGTACCTGGTAGATGGTACACAAAACCAATATCTTGAGTAACGTAAGCTGAATCTGGATAGTCAACATTCAAATCAATAACTTTAACATTCCGAGCGATTGCGTCGCGAAACCAGGTATTGATATAACCCGCATGACACCCGCCGCGCCTCCAACGGAGACGAAACTTCTCCAGTGTGACAGACTTGTGTCGAATAAAGACACTGTTAACAAATTCCTCAAAATTCTTATTCTCGCCGTCGCCGTCGCCGCCGCCTGCGAATTCGTCGTCTTCATCCTCTTCTTCATCGCTGTTAAGCAATAACTCGTCATTGAAATCTAAGGTGTTAACTTTAGCCCAGAGAAATTGCCAACTTTTCGATAAAATGCTAGTTCCAACAGCAAACTTTGTGGGTAAAAACGAGAGAATGTGACAAATGATAGGCTCCGGCAGATTGCTGATCCTATCAACTGGACTTGCATCGTTCCCATGAGAGCACTTTTGGAGCTTCTCAGAGGAAGAAGCCCTCGGTTCAATGGACCTTTCCATATCCACCCAACAATCGCGAATCACAAGAAAACTTTTGCCGTGATGATTCTGCAGCAATTTTGAATTTTGATTTTAAACCCTAATTCGCGAGGAGAAATGGGGAAGATGTATTTCAGAGAAAAATTCGAGCTAATTGACCTATGCACCCCGATACTTTAAGATACATTGCCAAATGTGTACTCTCTACTGTTTTAGGCTTTTGGCAGGCTCCCTGAATTTGCTGTTTAAATATAAACTAGATAGATCAGACGCTCTTCGAACGTATGTTATGTATAATGACGTAATATAAATTATACAAAGAAAAGAAATAGTAAGTTACATTATTATCTAACACATTATTTATAAAATGTATTAACATATTTATCAGTAACAAAAATATATACTTAACAAAATATTATCACTAGAATTTGTCACTTGTGATTTCAATGATAGTGACACATTTTATCGTGACTGCGAAAAAAAAAGGGCATGAGCAATGAAAATTAAATAAATCAAGTTTTTGTATCACAAAAAAAAAAAGAACAACCAAAAAAAGAAGGGAAAAAACTAAATTCAAAAAGATAAACATGGAAATGAATAATGAAGGATAATTAATTCCAATAGACTTGAGAATAAGAGATAAAAGTAAAAAATTTGAAAGAAACAAAAAAAAAAAAGAAGAAGAAGAAGAAGAAGAAAAGTAACAAAAACGTACACCCTTTAAAATTATAAATTTATATTACATGAATTTTGATTTTCTTTTTAGTTATAGAACAATTTAAACTATTATTTAGGAATCTATTAAATTCAAAGAAAAGAAGAGAAGAAGAAAAGATATTTTGGAATTTAGAGTGAATACAATCACAAAAATATTTTTAGACTGATAAAATTCACCTAATAATACGAAATACTAATTTTTTTGGTAATCTTAAAAATGAAATTAATGGTTACAATCACTTTAAAGTAATTTAGACTGATCAAATCCACCTAATAATAATTTTTTTTTGTAGTCTCTAATAGATAAAAGTTAATGGAAGAGAGATCAAAGGTTAAATATATAGACAATTTATTATCATAAAAGTAGACATATGGGAGTACTTTATTAATATAAATTTAACGATAATGGACAATAAGTGAGATAATAATGAAATAAATTAGCGAAATGCTTTTGTCCAAATTCGATGAGGGACCAAAAAAAAAAAACCAAACTAAACAAAAAAAAAATTTAAATGAGGGACTACCGAACTTTTAAGGTTATTGTGCAATTATAATATAGTACGATGAGTATGATAAATTCTCTCCATCAAAACCTCATTTTAATAATTCATTTCTATCTCGTTGGAGAAAGTAATAGTTTAGCAATTGATAATTGGGAATGAGGTCTTGGTTTGGTGATAAGACCCCAAGTGAATCTCTTAAAAATCCAACAATCCATTTCCATCCGGAGGGGATTTTTTTCCCAAAAAAAAAAAAACGAAAGAAAAAAGCAATTGATAATTTAGTGTTTTTGCTATTACAAATAAGTTGTGTCAGTGGAATCAGGGAAAGGCAATGTTTTGATTTGCATTGTCCATTCGTCAACAACTTCTTATAGACCATGCATTTATACACAAAATGCTGGATTCAGGACGTGTGAATTTTAACCCAAGAAGGCAAGAACACTCGGACTAATCGAAAGGACCCCATTGAATCGGCCAAAGTTTCTGAACATTATTTTGTCCGTTCACTCAAATAAAATATGCCATGATTAAGAAGACGATGATATTAAAAGGCTGTTGAGATGAGCAACAGCAATAGTGACTGGTTCTTATAGGGATATGCTTTTATGATTTCCAGACCTAACCAAATTTTCTTATAAGCCAAATCCATCTGTTGCTTGTCCAGTATGCGGGACTTTCCTTGAAATCATGAACATTCTCGGAGTCCAAATTACTCTTGTAAACACAACACCATGCTTTAGAATACCTCACCAGAGTCAACTTATCAGTTAAGCAACCATACATTGCTCGCAAGCTGCCAATCCACAGATTCACGACAACCTCTCCTGCAACTATAGTGTGAATTTGGAGATTTCAATTAGCACATTTGGGAATTGGGACCTTTTCTTCCCTGTATAGGTTTATACAAGATCAATATGGCGGATAATGATATTTGGATTATCTGCACTCAGTAGAAACCTCTCTTCATAGGAAGCACTTTTCAGTTTTCACTGCACTTGAATAGTCAAGAACGAGATGGTTACAGTGAGATCTTTCTAAACCTTAAGAGTCTACACCTGTTGCGTCATAGTTCATCATGCTCCATCAATCTCCAACAGGACATGCATTTTCGACAAAGAATACGTCTTTGTGAGCAAAATACACAGAAGAACTTCGAAAAATGAAAGCACAATCAACTCTTGATCATGGACCCTGAAGGCAACCTGTTGTATGGTCTCTGCCCTACATAATTTCACATTCGTGATGTGATAACTTTCTAATTTCATCACCCGCGGCGGCGGCGGTGGCTAGCTAGGAACCATGGCAGTTCTAGGAGATGATAATATCAGCAACTTCACTCACCCAATCCTTCTCTTTTAAGTTGGAGGAGGATCACACCGTCTCCATTAGCTTGCTGCCTTTTCTAGGTTTTAAAAGAGATGAATCACCATCCTTCAATGTTAGCCTTCTTCTTAATGATGAGGGTTATCGTCACTTTTCAAGGTTACAAACACCATGAGATAATCATAAGGGGTGAAATGTTGATAGGCCATAGTTGATATGTAACGTTGAAAGGGGGAAATCAAATTAGTGGAATGAGTCTTCCTAAACCATAAAAAAATACAAATCCCCATATTCATCCATACAAGTATTTCATATGCATTTCCATGAAGTATACGAGCATCTCACAGCCTAAAACCAAAGCAACATATATAAAATTAAACCTGCTCCGTAAATTAAGAGCAAAACAAAAACTAAAAGCTTGGAACATGGAGCGAGAATAAAAGAGAAAGAGGAAGCACAATATACTTCAGAAAATCAGCTTCAGGTTGCAATATATCAATCATAAAATGAATTTCTTAAGGGAAACAAAGATGATAATGTTTCAGATAACACCAATGATGTAAATGAGGGAAAAATGGGACATGATATAGATGATGACAATCATGAATATCAACAAGATGGTGCAAATGATAAGGGGGTTCAGATGAGAGCAACAACATTGCCCAAGATGCTCTCTTATAAGCTTCTTTTGATCATTTCGCCTGCTAAAACTTCATGTAGCAAGGGGTGGGAGGGTTGGGTGGGGTGGTTAAGGGATTAGGATGGGGATCGAGGTTCGATTCTCGCTGGCCATCCAATTTTTTTTTCTTTTAAAGGGTTTAATGTCATGATAGGCTATTTATGTAGGGGGAAAAAAAAAACCCCTTCATGTAGCAAAATTGCAGCAGAGAACTCACTTTGTGACTAAGTAAAGCCAAGGAAACGAATATCTTTCTCAGCACCTCTGGTATTGTGCTATTCAACGTTGTTGAAATGATACAACAGAGTAATTAACAAAGAATTTGTATACTGAGTTTAATTGGAAGAACAGGTTTATTTTGAAAATCTGTAAAATCGTTTCGGACATTTTAATCATTCCCCAAGTTTCCTAAATCATCCCCAAAACAAGGTTAAAACTAAGCAAAAACCCAGCTGACATCCATCTTTTTAGCAACATGTTGATTTTGGCATCCACTATGCAAGATGATAGAAAGTTAAAGCACCATAACATTGACGTGAAACAAAATTACACAATGATTATCCCCACAATGGGGTACAGATGTTCAGTTTGTAACACAATCCCCAACTATAGAACCAACAAGCTTTAAGCTAATGCAATACAAAAACGATTTGTTTATTTCATTAGTATAACATCACAGCGAGAAATGGTACAATATTGACACATATTAAGTTCAGTCCATGAAAACGTGACTACCATGAACTTGGCCTTATTGAACGTCATCACTCCTTAACATGTGAAAGCGAAATGCTACCTAATAGCAGCCCTAATTTCCAGCACCTAAGTTTCAAGATATTTGGTTCTGGAAAAGATTCATTATTATAAGCTTGAAAATCACTAAAGGTACAGAACAATCTTGCCTTCTGACTGCAACGGGTTCTTCCAGATATATGCTTTTATAATATGCAGGACCTAGATGAAAACCAAAATCTTTGAAGATATCACATATGTCTAGACAAAAATAAGTTCCAAGGCCATCTATCTTTTGCCCTAAACATCAAGATTTTCAATGAGAACCTTGTTTTTTCCTCAATCACCGAGTCAGAGGCCACTCAGCATCCAAGTGGCGTCCTAAGTAACTCAAAAGAATTCATAATCAAATGCTTTATTGGGACTAATACATTATGACCACACTAGTCAAAAGGAGGCAACATTAATTAACACAAAGCGCTCAAATACTTGGTGATTTTCTTAAACAAAGGCCAACGGCTTTATAAAAAGAAAATGTTCTCATTTATTTATCAAAATTTGATCGGGATAGCATGATTTCAATTGTTTCAGAAATAAGGTTATCACAAAGGATTACAAAGAAGGATTGCTGCCATCTAATGTCAACAGCACCTTGTATAACTCGGGCCGCCGGTCACGAAACACACCCCAACTATATCTCTTGTATTTAATCTGATCCAGATCAAACTTTGCAACAAGAGCTTCCTCCTTGTCATCAGCAGCTGCAACAATTTCTCCTGTAGGTCCTGATGATCAAAACATTAAATGCTCAGTGTCACTTACAAGTAACCGATGATTGAGTAGCCTGAGTTGAAACCACAATGACAAATTATACTTTACCTGCTATGAAGGAATTGCCATAGAATGTGATCTCACTTTTCCCATGTTCTGTCTCAATGATTTCTTTCCCAATTCGGTTTGAAGCCACCAAAGGTACCTGTATATTCTCAAACCTCTAAGAAACATCTCTTTCTCAACAGATTGCAGTTACTGAAGCAAGAGGAGAATGATAAAATGGAAGTGCAAGCATATTCAAGGGACCAAAAGCCTGCACAGCATGACCAATTGTCCTAGTCTTCTAAATCTGAAATAATTATTTAACATCCCTAATCATAGTGAAAATAAGCCATTTACTAACAACCTGATCATACAATGACGGGAAATGAGAAGCATTTAGCAAATTTGGACAGGTACAGGTCTAGATAGTCTTGACGTAAAGAACAATGCATGAATTTCCAACAATCACTCAATCTCATTCTGATCCCAACAGTATCAAGGACAAAGTGTGACTTTAAGATTCGTAAACCATTTCTGTTCATGTTTGACTAATGAAGCCTGCAGTTCGATCAGAACTGCCAGCTACCGCAAGAAAGAGGAAATGGATTGACAGAAATAAGGTTTGAGCAGAAAGAAGTTCTCGAGTAGTAAAATATCCGAATGTGGTCCAAAAAATCACGTCTGGATTACACGCGAAAAATGACAGCAGTTTAAACTAAAATCACTTTCGCCATCAATACCTAAATTTGGGTTGAAAATTCCTTCCTCCAACTTACTAGCATTCAAAAGTAGAAAGGTTAGGGAAATGCTTGGAAAACATATTAGGATAACTGTGTAGACAAATTTCAAATCCTCGTGTTGTTTCCAAAGTTTAATTGTTCTAAGATTCTAATCCTATATGTTTCTTCTATAACTTGGACTTCAGGCATGTTGTTGCTGTTATGTCTAGTGAAAATTTGTTTGATTGAGGATTCAACACGCAGATGTATATGATTTACCCTTCATCCCAGTGTGCTTAATTTTTTCTTTCCTTTCTTAATCACCTGTTTAGCTTCTGCCAATAGAAGTTCTTTAAGCAAGTGCTGCAAGTCACAGCACGGTGAAATATAGTGGCTTGTGAATGTAACTTACCAGATTTGCTCCTGCATGCCCTTGCATCACTCTCTTCCAGTGCTCTCGAGAATCCAGCCCTTGATCTTGAGGCTCAGAACCAATAGCAGTGGGATAAAACAGTATTTCGGCACCTTGAAGAGCCATAGCTCGGGCAGCCTCGGGAAACCATTGATCCCAACAAATGGCTGATGAAAAGTTAACAGTAATTAGTAAATATTTCACTCTACTAAGAAAGCAGAAAAACTCTTGGTTTATCCATTGCTTTACTACTATAAACTTTTAGCGCTTTGATAGAGTTTCAATGTTGTACGCCATGCTTTCAGCAGATGAAGTGTACTGATCATCCTAGAATTATGCATCTTTCCTTAATCAAGTAACCAAATGGAAAGGAAAGCCACTAGCATAGGACAGAGCTTACTCACCAACACCAATTTTTGCAAATTTAGTCTGGAAAACCTGTATTGACAATCATCAAATCATCAAACATATAAGCACTAGATGTTCACCGAGCAGCATAGTAGAAGGACTCACAATTCATTGACTCACCTTAAAACCAGTGTCCCCTGGATTAAAGTAAAACTTCTCCTGGTACCCTGATAAGAAACTAGCTTTAGTTAAAATAAAAAACATCAGATGTCAGATATGTGTGACTTTCATTCTAGCACACCTGGACCATCTGGAATGTGGGACTTTCTGTAAAGTCCCAAATCTGTTCCATCAGCATCAATTACCGCGATTGAATTGTAATGCGCATTGTTTGCTTCCTCAAAGAAGCTAACTGGTATTACAACCCCCAGTTCCTTAGCAAGCTTCTGCATCCTGAAAAAGATGCGCATAAGACATTGGATGCAAAATTTCCATTTAGTAGAACAACTTGCAGATCATTTTCTTCCCCATTCCATGAACTGTGAGGCCACAAACCAGACAAACATGATTGCGAGAAAACAGGACATAATTTACACATTTTCACCTTAATATTGTGGGATGCTCCTTATATGGCTTTGCTCGTTGAAAGTAATCTTCCCTTTGTGCTTGACAGAAGTAATAACCCTCAAACAGCTCCTGAATCCACAGTAAGAAGGAACAAAATAAAAACTACCAGAAAAAGAAATTTTACAACTGGTACATGGGAATGCAACTTTGTTATGTCGCAACATCTCTTGGCAAATGAAAATTCGACAACAAATGTATAATCAGGAAAAAGAGATGTTTTTGGAGCATTAAAATCTGATTTAAGTAAAACAATTAATTACAAATTGAAACATCCAATTACACATCGATTCCTATCTTCATATTGTATGCTACCAAACTACTTTACCATTTCTGCAACTACAAATTCTAACCAAATGCAAAATGTAAATCCAGTAAATGAAGACTCAACCAAAGCCTGGGAAGTGCAAGCTTAAAAATTGAAACAAATTCACATTCTCTTTTCTTTTTTCATTTTCGGGACCAGCCCTAATCATCAACTAAGAAAATTGTTTCATCTAATATTAGCATAACAATTCAAAGCCTTCGTGGTGCTTAAGTGCTAAACAACTGGGAATCGTTCAGATGTCATTGAATAAAGTAAGCAATCAGCTTTCATTCTCAAATACATGCAAGTCAGAGTCACAGGACCCTTCCTATCACACTAGAAGGCTTTACTCATTTACCTTAAAAAGCACAATACGAGTGTAGCACAGGGTATTGAAGAACAATCAGGCAAAGGGTACTCAAAAATTCCGCAAAACAATTAATTCAATAATGACAATGGAATTGGAATGTCAAGCTTCCCAAGGAATAAAGGGTATCTGTTTAGACTAATTTCATCCCTAAAATACGAGAAAGACAAACCTGAATCAAAATGATATTTGCGCCTTTCTGATGAGCAGCTCTAACTAGCCTGAAATTAGGTCGTCATAACAACAAAAAACCGTTCACCAATTAGAACATATAACAGATTACAGTTTTTATTCCGAATTGAAAGCAAAAAAGCATGATAAAATTAATAGACTCATATGCATAAAATAGAACATTTGACCTTTCAGCAGTGGCAACGTTGGTTGAGACATCATCAGTGCAGGCGAATTGAAGAGCTGAAACCACGACTTCTCTCTTCCCGATGCCCTCCATAGCTGCTAAGCTTCGAACTTGTTGAGGATACTGACCAAGTTCTCTCTACAGTCTACCCACGCAAACAACAGAAAACGAAAGTACTTCCGAAGTCAAACGACCGAAGTCAAAAAGGCCAACGACGTTACTTATTGAACATATCTTACACTACGAATTTTCAGGGCGGAGTTTTTTTTTTAATTTATTAACTGTAAATTTTAAATCAAAAAGGCATTCCCATTCTTTTTGTTTAAAATTTGGCCAACCAAAGCATTATTGCTATGGTAACGAGGAATAAAATGACTTTTAGGATTAATAGGAATATTGTTAGGAAGATTCAACTGTTATTGAAGTGGGATTAGATAGTAGAATTTATCTACGAGTTTAGAAAAATTAATTGTATGGCGAATTTTTTAGCATCATTAGAGTCACAAAAACATGGTGGTATGAAATTGTTTGTTGATTCTCTAACGGGAGTAAAGAATATGATAATTTTCTAAACGCGAGCATCTTTTCTTTGTGACAATAAAAAAGGCCAAAATAGGGGAAAATTTTCATTATGACAAAAAAAAAAGGCCAAAAAAGGGGAACAGAATGCGTGCTTTTTTTTTGAGGAACCGTGCACATCTGAAATATATCAAAACTAATAATAAAGTTAATATACTAATTGGATAATATTGTGTCCTCATTATTATTCTTTTCTATATTTGTTTTCGGCATTAGACATTACATTATTTAATATTAATTGTTTTAGTTACTTTACATTTCCTGATATTAGGGCCTAAGTAGTAAAATATTTAAAAGAATTAGACTAAAATTTGGTGGGGTGCGACAGGCCCATGCTATAGTGCAACGCAAGGGCGACGCGCGAAGGTCCGAGTAGCAAGCTACCCTGATGGGCCTTCCCCCTAAAAAAATTCATTTAATATCATGTGGGCCGATGGCCCACGTATCAGATATTAAACTGATAAGAACAGATACTACACTTGATCTTAGCCAAAAGGCCGAGAAAGGTATGAGTTTCAACATGGCACGACCAGGCGTTTTATACTCCATCTTGCCGCCTCTTTTCCGACGAGCGAACGATGTGGGACGACTGCCACGAGCCAATAACCCTTCTTCATTGACTGAGCAAATCAATCAAACAACATCATCAGCACTACTCCTGATCAAATTTAGTTCATACTAACCGTTCAACCATTTCAATTTTTCATTACCAAATAATTGAAAAGATTTTAGCGAGACTATTTTTTACTTGTCTAGTGATAACATAACAAGGAATTACCCACATTCTTCAGTTAAATTTTTATATATGCTTGTGGCTTCTAACCAAAAAAAAATAAAAAAATAAAAAAATAAAAAAATTAAAAGACACAAAAGTTTGATAATGATTGTTTCTTTCGTTTTTTTAATGTGTGTTTTTAGGTATTTTTTGTATTTTTTTTTGAAAAATAAAATTTATTAATTTACTGTAAACTGTCCGGCAGCGATTGATAAGAAAAGATACAGCCAGAAAAACACAATTTACAATTGGCCATAATCATAGTGCATTTATTGTGTTTCATATAGATAAACCTATGTAGATCTACCCTATCAAGTAGTGGTTGTATCACGTGCCGAAACAAAGATACAACACTAAAATTCAGTTGAAACTCCCAAATCATAGATCTAACAACTAAATCTATGATGACTGAATCTTTTAAAGCCATACGAACGAACTCCAACAAACCCACCGCCATACCTGCAAACATCACCGACAAAAATGTCGCTATACCAACGACATCACTAGGGAAGTCGTCGTCATACCAGCGAACATCCATAAGGAAGTCGCCGCCATACCTAACTAGTAAAGGAGATTATAATCTCACTTATTGAAAATAAATTAAACAAAAATAAAAAGTGTAAGGATCGGGACAGAATTATCTCCCTCATCCTCTCATGGTGGAAAGATGGGGAAAAAGATGGAGTTTTTTTTTTTTAGGGTTTTAAGGTTGGAGAGGTAGAGAAGGACGGCAGGTGTTTTTTGTATTGGGAATATAAAAAAGTGTATTATGAAATGTAAAAATGTACGCTGAGATTGGATATTTAATAATATTTTAATTTGAAAATAACATTCAGAAAAGGAAACAAACAAACAGACTGTAGTAAAAATATACTTAAAAGAGAAAAAATTAGGCATCAAAGAGCAACAATTCCGATTTATTTTTCTGGTCAACAATATCAAGGAACAAAGGGTCAACAGTCACGTGACTATCCACGTGAACCTTGAACTTGTGGTCCCACCACAGCACCTTGGCCTCTCCCTGGATATCCACCGTCGCGTCCAGCACCATCTCCCGCTTCGCCACGTCAGCCAGGAACCGCTTGGCGTGGTGGGCCAGCTCCATCCCGCTGAGCCGAGCCGGCAGGTGGAGAACCTTGCAGGACCTCGCCTTCTGCGACCCGGCTTCCACTGGAGCCGAGCCGAGGAGGCAGCCGGCGTAGTAGATGGACATGGTGGTGGAGGAGTAGTGGATCGCCGCCGGGTTCGGGTTGGAGACGTGGACGGTGAGGATCACGTCGGTGTCCAGAACCGGGAAGTTGAACTCGAAGGAAGTCAGCTTGATGGAGATCAGGTGGAACGTTGGGTCCCGCGGCTTCATTGAGAACAGAGTCGTCGCTGCCGTGGCGGTTGCGGCGCCGACCAGGGCGGAGGTCCAGCTCCAGTTCACCTTTTTGCCCATTGGGAGGGGGAGGAAATCCGGCGAGAGAAGATGCTTTTCCGACCGAAATGAAAGGGAAAGGGAAAAGAAACGACCGTCGTTTGACTTAATTTGATTGGTGTATTTTGGACCGTTTTTGTTCAAACCTGTGGTAGTACAGTTCTTATCGCTTGGGCAAACCAACCAAGCAGCTGGTATTAATTAATTAATTATTAGATGTTACCATTTCATATTTGTTAAGTTAATAGGATGGAATATAATAATTGGAAATTTTATTAGATTGGACAATCTCTTATATATATATATATATATTTCTATATATATTAAAGGAGAATTTTCAATCGAACACATGGCGTGAAACTAGATAGGTTAATATACATAGCAAAAAATTAGAGAGCTAAGTCCACATGTCGCAACCACATCACTCCATCATTTAATGGTAATTTTTTAATTTGTAAATCCGTAAAATCTATAAATAAAAAATTTATAAAATAACTTCTTCTCAACTTAAGTCACTAATTCTCAAATGATATTCTTTTGTGGTATTTTATTTTTAAAAATCCATCTAATCTCCAATAATATTCCTTTGTGGATTATATATATATATATATACCAAATCAATTAATTTGATTAAATCTTCAAATATAATAAGTGATTGTTTAGAACCATAATGGCACCCATAATGAAATATATATATATATATATATATATATATATACACACGAACAAACAATTATTAATATTACTTAATAATAGTTTTAATAGTTCCAATGATAATTGTTTTAACAATTTACTTTAGTAGTGTTTATTTTATCAAGTTTGATTTTATTTTTTTGATGAAATAATTATATAGAGAAAAAAAATTATGTAGAGGATAAAAAAACTAGAGGTAGAAAGATTTTATTTGGCGGATACTCTTTTAGAGTTTCAATACGCGATAGAGAGATTTTATTTGTCCTTAATTTTTGTTACTGTACCCGAAAAAGAAGAGATTGCATCTTGATACTAAGTATAATGGAATGGATTCTTAATTTTCTTCTGTAAGTGTGTTGAAATGTGATACTTTTTCAATTCAAGGAAATAATAAGATGCATATTTTCGGTTCCCAGAATTAAAATTATTTTAACATAGTTAAGAAAATAATACTCCATATTGGTGCGAAATAATTTCTCTTTACCTTTTTATTTGCATATACATCTTGAAATTTAAGCGTAGTATGCGATTTTCACCGATGAATAATCTAAACTTGGTGCGAATTGGTAATTTGCAGTAAAATATAAAAAAAACTCAATTAGATAAGTCTTTATATCTTTCCATATAATATAATGGTAGAAAAAGTTAACTTTATGATGAGAAAAAAAAACGTCGACATCAATAGAGAAAAATTTTTATAAAATGAGAAAAAGATAAAATTCTTTGTGAGAGAGAGGCGGTAGAAGAAATGCATATTCAGAAATTGAAAATAATTATTTGGAGGAAAAAATTATGTAAATAATAAGAAAATATGAAAAAAACGAGATAATAGTAAAAATGTTAAGTAAACATTGAAAATTCTTCAATAAATGAAACTTTAAAGATATGTCATCCAATTTAGGGGAAAAAAGGGTGAAAAATATTTTTTTAAAAAAAAAGGCAAAAAAAATTAAAGCAAACACTGTATTACAAGCATAAGCAAACACTATATACGAACAAACTTCTAAAGAAAGGTTGTAAAAGATATATGGAGAGATGGAAAATAAGCATAAGTTTATTGAAAGAGATAATTAGAAAATTTTCTGTTAGATGGAGATTTTAAAATATATGACACGGGTAGAAATATGTAAAGAAATTGTTGTGAAAAATTTAAATAATACTTTTAAAATATATAAAGCGATAAACCAACAAACAAAAAAGCTGGGAAATAATCTACGTTGGATGATTTTAAATATTGAAAATGATTCTAAAGGTACTTAAAATAACAAAATACATTGACATTAAAATTACACAATTGCCATTTATATCATTAAATATATATATATATATATATATATTTACATACAACACTCCGTTAGAAATGTCATATAATCCTTAAAGCAATGTGGCTAGCTTGTCGAGGCACCCAAAATTAATCCGATAATCCTACCGAACTACAAAATTTGCAGTAGTAGCAGTACCAGGTCGAATCCCAAAGGAGCTAGATTCTTAGTTCTTAGTTTGACAATGTCCAAAAAGATTTGTTTGTTGGTTTACTAACTACTAAGACAAAATAAAAATTACGAGTTTTAAAAGCAAAGATAAGTAAACAAGGAGAAAAGTCAATATCACAAGGGTTCTGACTCAAGGAACGGATCATCCAATTATTTCACAGATCATTGGTAACTAAAATCATTCTTGCACTTCGAGCACTCAAGTTTAAGCATACTAGGATAGCCGTAGTAAACATAAAATTTCCCTAAATTAACTAACCAAACCTAGCATTCAGTTAACGCTTATCGTTAAACGTTGGGCACGATAACGTTCCATACAAATCAATGATAGCAATAAAAACCAAGGAAATATGCTTGAAACACAATTCAAAATTATTGAGATAGCTACAATAAATTAAATTATGGTTTGCGTATTCTTCTACTAAGCATTCAAGAACACCCTATGTCTTACAAATGCACAAGTAATGCCTAGTTGCTACTAAACTCCAGAGGTTCGTGTCAATTACGTAACATACAACCATTAGGATAGCACTAAAAAGTAAATAAAACTAAGTTGTCAATTCAGTTTATACTCACTTTTATAAATTAAAACAAGAATAAACAAACAACTCAAACTGTAGACAAGATTATATTAATACCAAAATCTCACATATGAAATAATTGAATTAAATCCCTTGAATCAGAAATAAAAGGTTTAGCTACTCATAATCATGGACATGATAGCTAATTTATTCATAAAAAAATAGTGCCAAGTTTAGAAGAATTGAAAACCCGAAAAAACGGAGACAACAGCTGACCTCTGAAGCCAAAAGAAACTCTGCGCAGTATCTTGTGTCTTCGAAAAAAAACTATGGCCAAAATGAATTCACGCTGCCTTATATAGAATTAGGTCAGCCGCATTGAAACAAAAGTTTGGCCAAAAATTGCAAAATTAGTCCTTTTATTTTTGATCTTTTCATAATTGACCCATAAATTCTTTAATAATAAAATTAAGTCCATTAAGTTTCTTCTCAGCAGCTTTTGTCTTCAGCAACTTCCATGTTTTGCATTTAAGTCCATCATTGTAGTAAACTTCTTCCTTTGCTCAAGTTGGATGATTTTTGCAGTCTCTTTTTGTATCAATTAGTTCAAAAAAGTTGTAAACTCCGATTTCTAGTTCCTAACACAAAACATTAATAAAACTTAATGAATTAAAACCATCCAAGTCTATAAACTCATAAAATAATAACAATTAAAACATAAATTATGGACTCTATCACAATGATAGAGACAATGATAAATAATAGTGAAATAGAATAGTGACTAATGAAAAGACAAATACACCATCCTCACTAAATATGTTTAGTTATTGATTAATGATAAAAATATAATTTTTAGGGAAAAATAAAATTTTAAAGGAAAAGTGGCAAAACACTAGGGGCCAAGAATATTTTACATAACTGACTATCTTTTTTTCTTTACTTTTTCTCACTATACATATCATTTTCCTAATCATTTAAATTATTGAACTCATATATATCTTAAACATCCTGCACAACGTGAGGAATAAACACTGGTTATATATTAACGGAAAGTTTTCAATCGCCACATGTCAGGGATAAACACTAGTTATATATTAACGGAAAGTTTCAATCGCCACATGTCATACAATAACATAGTCAAAGACCTTGTTCGCCACTTGTCACTGTCAGAAGCTTTTTTTGCCATGTGTCAATAAAAAAGACACTCCTTCATTAAACCGTTAAACTTTTATGTAAATTGGTTACTTTAACTCTTACCACCTATTCATCTCACCCGTATTTTCATTGTGTAAAATTGTTTAATTACCTAAACAATAATAATAATAAATAATATACTAAAATTACATTGAAATACGTAATTCCCGATAAATTTAAAGCTTTTCATATCTTTCTCTTTGCTGAATGTGAAAATCGGCATATAATAGACTGCCCTTCGTAACATCAATAATGGAGCAGCCATTCGTTAATTGATCAAATGAACTTCAACCTTTACATTGCATTCTGACAATCATATAATCAATCGTCCCCTCTCTTTTCTTACGCATTTTTTTTGTTAATGTTGTTTATAATGTAGTTAATACTAACCGAAATGTTTTTTGTATTTTATGAGTAACCTTTTAGGGTACAGATAGAAATACAAAAATAGCGTTCATGAATTTCCCTCGTGTGTTCAGCGGATGTGATTATGATCAACCGGTTAATTGTCATTTATTCATTGAACTGGACTTCGAAAAAAAAAAAATTCATGCGCCTAACTAGATAAACAAAAAATTATGGCTTTACTTGACCTCATTAATTTGTTTTAAAAAATTACTATTTACCATATACTTGATGACATTAATAAATAAATTACCATATCTCCTTCATTATGACAAAAGATACGATATGACAAAATTACAAAAGATTATTTCCATAGTCTAAATAATCGATTATGATCAATTCATATGCAATCACTTTGAACCATCAAATCTGGACATTAATTGATCAATTACTAAACATAGTTCAATCATTTTAATTTATGATATCATCAAATCTGAAACTTCGTTGCTCATATAAATAACTACTTCCAAGTGTATTTTTACCGTACCCTTGCAACAACTAAAAAGAAACAAAAAAAAACTTTACCTCCTTTAATGCGTACTGATTGATTGAATCCGCTTTGCGGGTGCGCATTTCATATATATGATCGACATATTTACTTTTCTTAGTGTATAATTATTGTATTAAATAAAGTACAAAATGATTTTTTTTTAAAAAATATTAAATGACAAAAGAATACCGGTTAATATATTCCCAATTATTTTGGTAAAAAAAACTAAAGTA